TGTGGTTACTGTGGTTCCTTAAAGTTCTTAAAAGAAGGTGGGGGAGTAAGGAGCTGGAGAGGACAGAGCTAAAGGGTATGTGTAGGTCCTGTCTGTTGAGCGCAGAAGACAGCACTCAAAGAAAAAGTTATGAATGGAATATCCTGAAAGATGACATGACTAACAGATGACATGACTAATTAATTGCCTGATATACTGAACAGTGCTCCACAGCGCATAGGAAGATGGTGAGTAAGGGTAGACGTGTACAAGTAGAGGTATACAAAATTTTGTATGATGTGGAGAAAGTGGAAAGGGAGTTATCTTTCTCCCTCTCCTCTAACATTAGAACCTAGGATAAAGCTGGTTGGTGAGAAATTCCAGACAGATAAGAGGAAGTACTTCTTCATACAGCAAAACTAAGGAATTCATTTCTACTATTGATGGCCACCAATTTTGACCTCTTTCAATGGTGATTAGAAAGGAGGATTGGGAGGATAAGGTGATCAAGTGCTACTAGCCTTGAAAGCTATATGCAACAGCCAATAGCAGAAGCTTTGGGGGTTTTTGTGAGAAACTAGTTGGCCACTGTGAGAACAAAATGCTGAATTAGACCAACTCTGGATCTTATCCAGCATGACTCTTATATTTTCATGTTCTTATATTTTGTGTAGGAGTAAAAAAATACAATTACCCAGTTCTAAGTTTGCTATCTTCATAAAATTATAGCCAGATTATCTTAATTATCCACCATCTTAATTATCCACCATCTTAATTATCCACCTAATAGGCATCTTTGCTGCCATTATCCAAGCCTCTCTGTACTTTTTGAAAAGGCCAGTAGTGCTGAGTAGGCTTCACATGATGCCTTGTGCCAAACAAAACTTGTAGTGAATAATCCAGAGAAATAATGACTACAAGGAACAGCCAAAATGAATACTTACAAACTCACAATAATAAAGAGGTACACATAGTCCCACTTTCAGTAGATGTTTCTGATCTGCAGTTCTCAATAGGTGACTTTAAAAAAGGGCGGAAGCTGCTCTTCATTTAGTGACTTTTTAAAAGTCTATAAAATACATGTAAATTACAGTACCATGTATTTGGGATTAGTGCTACTGAATTCAATGGCAAATCTAGCCAAGCAGGTTTGCATAGTTTCAGATAACCAGAACTGTAGGACTGCTGGGAAAGCTTTTATTTTAGGTAGCGCCCTAAAGGTGACTTACAATTAAAACTTAATGCAAAGATCTTCATTTGGTATCAGGCACTAGAGACACTTGCCATAGTGACTCCTTGTACTGGGACTGAAACTCAAAGGGGTGGAAATTCAGCATCTATTCCTTCAATTTGCTTGCTGTCTGAGCCAGCTTATTTACTGCTTACTTTCTGGCCAGTAAATATTAACAGTTCGAGCAACTAGCCTCTTCTCTCCATTAAGAAGACACAAAGTCTCACAGCTTCCATCTCTCCCTCTCCACTGCTCAGCTGCTTCAGCTTGCCCACTGCTGGAGCAATGGGGCTAGTGACAATGGCCAGCTGGCCAGAGTGGCTCTTCTGTTCCTTTTGCCTGGATGCTCCAGCTTGGTCAGTAACCCAACTGAATTCAGCTTTTCAGAGGCATCCCTTGGGACACACACATTTTCCAGCTCAAACATTTTATCTATTCCTAGAAGCAATTACCAGGATGTAAACTGAAATGCTCATTGATAGTATCAGAAAGAGCTGTGAAATGGTTATGCAGACACCAATTTTTTTTTATCTAGACGTTCATTACCAAGATATCACATTCTTAAAGATGAGTAAAGAATTTGCTTTTGCTAAATAATGGCAGTAACCCATTTTAAGTTTATGGGGAGAAATGTAAATACCTGAGTAGCTGTAACTCTGGTTGAAGGATTAAATATAAATAAGCTTTGTAACAGTTCGAGCAAATCATTGCCAGCAGCACTGAAGATGTGATGAAGCAGCATCCCAGGAAAACTTTTAAAAGTCACATAATCAGGAAGATTGGTCATACCCTGTAGTAAAGAGAAAGAGCCAGCAGCTACAGAATGAAAAGTTAGATGTATACCACAGTCCTGATTTGTAAGACTTATATTGGGTTCAATCCAGATTTAGGTACTCAAACTGACTTACAGAATCATACAATAAGCAGAGTTGGAAGGGGCCAGAGGGCCATCCAATCCCCTGCTCAGTGCAGGACTCAAAGTTAAACCATCCTTTTCAGATGGCTGTCCAGTTGCATCTTGAATGCCTCTAGTGTGGGAAAGCCCACAACCTCTTGGAGTCATTGGTTCCATTGTCATACTGCTGTAACAGGATTTTTTTTTTCTGTTATCTAGTTAGAATTTGGCTTCCTGTAACTTGAGCCCTGGGACATCCTGCACCCTGGGATGACTGAGAAGAGATTCTGTCCTTTCTTTGTGACAGCCTTTCAAATATCTCTCCTCAGGTTTTTCAAGGCCAAACATGCTCATTTCTTTCACTCTCTCTTCACAGGGCCTTGTTTCTAGTCCCTGGATCATCCTTCCTGCTTTCCTCTGTACCCTTTCCAGCTTGTTTGCAGCTTTCTTAAGCCTTTATGCCCAGAAGTGAACACAGTACTCCAGATGAGGCCTAGCCAGTTCTGAGTAAATGTGAGGTATTTCTTCAAGGGATTTGGAAGTGAGACATCTATTAATGCAACCCAAAATAGCATTTGCCCTTTTTTTGCAGCCACATCACATTGTTGACTCATATTCATCTCGTAATCTATAACAGTTCCAAGATCCTTTTCACTTGATTTGATAGAAGCAGATGGACCCTTCCCATCTCCTCATATCAATCTCAGAAAATGTTACACAGAGGTCCTGGGAAACTTTACTGAATGGAGTAGGCTCTGTTCACAGAAGGTACTTCTACCCAGTTGTTGGAAATCCCACTTCTTCAAGCACTGCAGCCTACCCCATTCATCAGGATGCCCCAACACTTGTTTTGGGGAGGGGGGGTTGAGAGAGTGGAGGAAGTGGAGAAACTGATTTTCACCAGCTGAGTTTCCTATGCTTAAATCGAGATGCAACCCATCTACTCTAAATGTAGTCAAATAACTTACAGGCCACTGCTCCTCTGTTGGAGTACCCAAGGTTTCAAATATCTTTGTGAGCTGATCGAGGTCAGAGTCTCCTGGCAGAAATGGAACCTACAGTAGAATGAAGTCAGAGGCAGACTGACTGAAGTTCTGGAACTCTTATACAGAAACAAATTCAGTCTTAGAATCTTAAACTTTTCTAGCAAACAAGTTAAAATTGTGACAGTGTGTTCTCTGCATTTAAATGTTCTGTTTCAGGGCAGGCAACCAATGGCCTTTGAACTAGTTTCTTGCATATGGGAGGAGGAACTCAGACAGAAAGAGACAGAAGAGGGAGCCAAAATGGATGGCGCTCTAGAAAAAGGGAGAAAAAGCTCTCCACAAGTAATCAGTTCAGCTCCTTGGCACAGCAATCAGAGGGGAGAGGGAGAAAGAGGGGAGCAAATGGAGGGGGTAGCTCATGCATATCTCTGCCCCTTCCAACTGTCAGTATGTAAGCCCCTGACGAATTACTCCTGGAAAATTATAGCTCACAATCTTGATCCTTGGTTTAATGCTCTAAGGATGTACCACACCATAAAACTAGTAACAGTAGATGCTAGTATCGAAGAGGTTACATTTAAAGTATGAACATATTAAGCATTTGTGCAAGAGTAGGAGCAAGTTTCGTTTGTCAACTGTGTTCAGGACCTACCCTTAGAAGCAACTCAGCCAATATGCAGCCCACTGCCCACATATCCACTCCTACGCCATACATTCTAGCACCAAACAGAAGCTCAGGAGCACGATACCACCTGAAAAAAGACAGGCATGCTATTTTTTCCTCACTGCTGCATGCATACAAACTCAGTTCTGCTGGGAGCCTTTGGGCTGAAGGGCAGAGTAGAAATAGGATGGATGGATGGATGGATAAAACTTTGTGTCTGAACATTTGCTTTTCCTTTAAAATGACAGCAGAACAAGAGTGATGAATCAGCTATTTTCAGTCAGTACTGCACTAACTTTTAAAAAATCTGCAACCAAGTTCTAGAGAAAAAACAATACTGTGATTCTTTTCAAAGTTCAACAGAATTTTTCTTCTGGAACATAGCTAATTGAAGACTCTCAGAGCTTAGCTAATGTAGAAACATAGAAATAGAGCAAGTCAGAAGGGGTCTCCCAGGACATCTAGTCTGACCCCCGGCTCCAGCTGGCTTCACTCAAGACATGTCCACCATGTGCATGTCTAGCCTATCCTTGAACACCCTCACCGATGGGGCCTCAACCACCTCCCGTGGAAGCCCAGTGTACAATAGCAGTAACTGCTGGTGCATACTGGAGGCTGTTTTAGATGTCTCTGCGACTAGTTTGGTGTAGCTTTCTCCTCTTTATACTCACAAAAACTGTGCGAAGTTAGGCTGAAGTATGTGGACTGGTGCAAGGTCACCCACTGAGCTGCATGGCTGAATGAGGATTTGATCCTGGGTTTTAGCTTGGCACTCTTACAGCTCAATCATACAGATGTTTGGTCCCAGATGGCTAGGGCATGCTAGGAGCTGTAGGCCTTTTTTCTGTTTAAATAGGCATAGGATTGCACCCTTAGCCATTATACCACAATGACTCTTAGTCATATTTCTTTCCTCATGGGGAGGTAAGCAAATGAGTCTGCCCTATCAGCAGGCCATGTGGGTTCCGAGTGCAATCTTTTTCTTACCTTGTTACTACTTGGTGTGTGTAAACTCTGTTTGGACTTCCAAAAGACTTTGCCAAACCAAAGTCAGCCAGCTTCAAAACTCCATTTTCATCTAGCAGCAAATTGTTTGGCTTAAGATCCTTAAATCGAGAAAAAGGATGTATATGGCAAATAAACACTTTTTTTAAAAAAGTTATATGAGATTAGTGAGTATTCTTAATCAGAAATATACTTTACTGAAAACAATGGAAGTTATAAATGCATGCAAATAGGACTTAAATGCTAGCCAGATACCTCACTGGACAACTTAAAGTAGACTGTGACTTTCATGTGTTCTGCCTCTAAAAGGCAACACTGCAGTTCAATGAAAACTATTTGCAGAGGGGGTTAAATTTTATTGAAACATCATACTGCAAACTGACATGTGAACGTTTGAGATTGAAATATCCCTATTATGCTTCTTTTTGTTTTACACCAATTTGTTTTATCAGGGGTTTCGGCCTTCTTTAGCCACCAAATAAAAAGGAACTTGGAACATTTTGTTAAGGCTAGGTTCATGGTATTTAGAAATATAGCGAGTCAGAAGGGGTCTCCCAGGCCATCTAGTCTGACCCCCGGCTCCAGCCGGCTCTGCTCACGACATGCCCACCATAACATAAACTATAAACAGCATGAGTGCTATCATTAAGTTTTTTACAATTTCTTATTTGTTCAAAGCTTAGACTCACCCTATGAAGAATCCAGTGTTCATGTAAATACTCTAAACCCTGAAGTGTCATCAACAGGTATGCTTTAATGTGAGAAGGTGTCAACACAATACTAGTGTCCTTTATTATCACCTGTAAAACAGAAATGCATTTAATACAAAATCTTACGCAAAACTGTATGCAAAATCTTAAGGTCTTAAAACGAATTGCAAAAATATGTATATCATAAGACGCAGACCTTCCAGTAACAAAGTGATCACTGGGTACAAAGCTCACTACTAGTATCTTCATTTATACCACCTACATTGATTTGTTGTTGTTGTTAGTCGCGAAGTCGTGTCTGACCCATTGCGACCCCATGGACAACATTCCTCCAGGCCTCCCTGTCCTCCACCATCCCCCAGAGTCCACTTAAGCTCACACCGACTGCTTCAGTGACTCTAACTAGACACCTCATCCTCTGCCGTCCCCTTCTTCTTTTGCCGTCTATCGTTCCCAACATTAGACTCTTCTCCAGGGACTCCTTCCTTCTCATTAGGTGGCCAAAGTATTTGAGTTTCATCTTCAGGATCTGGCCTTCTAAAGAGCAGTCAGGGTTGATCTCCTCTAGGACTGACCAGGTGGATCGCCTTGCAGTCCAAGGGACTTGCAGGAGTCTCCTCCAGCACCACAATTCAAAGGCCTCAATCCTTTTGCGCTCAGCCTTCCTTATGGTCCAGCTTTCACAGCCATACATTGCAACTGGGAAAACCATAGTCTTGACTATACGCACTTTTGTTGGCAGGGTGATGTCTCTGCTTTTTAGTATGCTGTCTAGATTTGCCATAGCTTTTCCCCCCAGGAGCAAGCGTCTTTTCATTTCTTGGCGCAGTCCCTGTCTGCGGTGATCTTGGAGCCCAGGAAAATAAAATCTGTCACTACCTCCATTTCTTCCCCATCCATTTGTCAGGAAGTGAGAGGATCGGATGCCATTATCTTAGTCTTCTTAATGTTGAGTTTCAAGCCAACTTTTGCACTCTCCTCCTTCACCTGCATCAAGAGGCTCTTTAGCTCCTCTTCACTTTCTGTCATGAGAGTGGTATCATCTGCATATCTGAGGTTGTTTATATTTCTCCCAGCAATCTTAATTCCAACTGGTGATTCATCTAGGCCCACCTTTCTCATGATGTGCTCTGCATGTAAGTTAAATAGGCAGGGCAACAGTATACAGCCTTACCAAACGCCTTTCTCAATTTTGAACCAATCAGTGGTTCCGTGTCCAGTTCTCACTGTTGCTTCTTGACCCACATATATGTTTCTCAAGAGACAAATTAGTTGTTCTGGTACTCCCATCTCTTTAAGACCTTGCCACAATTTGTTGTGATCCACACAATCAAATGTTTTGGCATAGTCAATGAAGCAGAAGTAGATGTTTTTCTGGAACTCCCTAGCTTTCTCCATGATCCAGTGTATGTTGGCAATTTGATCTCTAGTTCCTCTCCCTCTTTGTAATCCTGCCTGTACTGCTGGAGCCTAGCTTGTAGAATTTTGAGCATAACTTAGCTAGCATGTGAAATGAGTGCAATACTGCGGCAGTTTGAACATTCTTTGGCATTGCCCTTCTTTGGGATTGGATTGTAAACTGACCTTTTCCAATCCTGTGGCCACTGTTGAGTTTTCCAAATTTGCTGGCATATTGAGTGTAGCACTTTTACTGCATTGTCTTTTAGGATTTTGAATAGCTCAACTGGAATACTGTCGCCTCCACTACCTTTGTTGTTGCTCAGATTTCCTAAAGCCCATTTGACTTCACATTCCAGGATGTCTGGCTCGAGGTCAGTGACCACCCCTTCGTGGTTATCAGGAATGTTAAGCTCTTTCTTGAATAGTTCTTCTGTGTAATCTTGCCACCTCTTCTTAATCTCCTCTGCCTCTGTTAGGTCCCTGCCATTTTGGTCCTTTATCATGCCCATCTTTGCATGAAATATTCCCTTCATATCTCCAATTTTCTTGAAGAGATTTCTGGTCCTCCCTATTCTATTGTTTTCTTCTATTTCTTTGCACTGTTCATTTAAGAAGGCATTCTTATCTTTTCTAGCTGTTCTCTGGAATTCTGCATTCAATTGTTTGTATCTTTCTCTTTCTCCCTTGCCTTTCACTTCCCTTCTTTCCTCAGCTATTTGTAAAGCTTCCTCAGACAGCCATTTTGCTTTTTGCATTTCTTTTTCTTTGGGATGGTTTTAGTTGCTGCCTCTTGTACAATGTTGCGAACCTCCGTCCATAGTTTTTCAGGCACTCTGTCTATCAGATCCTATTCCCTAAATCTATTTGTCACCTCTACTGTATATTCATCAGGGATATGATTTAGGTCATACCTGAGTGGCCTAGTGCTTTTCCCTACTTTCTTCAACTTAAGCCTAAATTTTGCAACCAGAAGCTCATGATCTGAGCCACAGTCGGCTCCTGGTCTAGTTTTTACTGACTGTATAGAGCTTCTCCATCTTCGGCTGCAGAGCACATAGTCAGTCTGATTTCTGTGTTGACCGTCTGGTGATGTCCATGTGTAGCGTTGTCTCTTGGGTTGTTGGAAAAGAGTGTTTGTTATGACCATCGTATTCTCTTGACAAAATTCTACCAGCCTGTGCCCTGCTTCATTTTGTACTCCAAGGCCAAACTTGCCTGTTATTCCAATTATCTTTTGGCTTCCTACTTTAACATTCCAATCCCCCATGATGATAAGGACATCATTTTTTGGAGTTAATTCTAGAAAGTGCTGTAGGCCTTCATAGATCTGGTCAACCTCAGCCTCTTCAGCAGCAGTGGTTGGGGCATAGACTTGGACTATTGTGATGTTGAATGGTTTGCCTTGGAGTCTAACTCAGATCATTCCGTCATTTTGGAGATTTTATCCTAGTACTGCTTTTCCTACTCTTTTATTGACCAGGAAGGCTACTCCATTTCTTCTGAGGGATTCTTGCCCACAGTAGTATACCTGATGGTCATCTGAATTAAATTCACCCATTCCTGTCCATTTTAGTTCACTGATTCCTAAGATGTCGATGTTCAGTCTTGTCATCTCTTGTTTGACCACATCCAGCTTGCCTTGATTCATGGATCTTACATTCCAGGTTCCTATGGAGTATAGATCTTTGCAGCATCGGACTCTCCTTTCACCACCAGATATATCTGCAACTGAGTGTCCTTTCGGCTTTGACCCAGTCGCTTCATTCTTTCTGGCACTACTAGTACTAGCCCTCTGCTCTTCCCAGTAGCATATTGGACACCTTCCGACCTGAGGGGCTCATCTTCCGGCGTCATATCTTTTTGCCTTTTGGTACTGTCCATGGGGTTCTCATGGCAAAGATACTGGAGTGGGTTGCCATCTACATTGATACAGCTATGCGAATAATAATGGAGTTTATTTGTACAGTAACTTCCCATTACCAGCTTCTCTAGGAACATGTGGACCCTTCTGATATATTAATTTATTCAGTTAAACTGAATTGCTTTGAATGGATAGTCCCATAAGCACTTACAATTATTTCCCTGCCCCAATGAAACCTACATTAAGCAAGTCTTTAGGTATTAAAAATGTTGGCTATATGCTTGCTTCCTCTTGTGCGAGCCCACTACACAAACTATTCTTCATTTGTGCCTCAGCTATTGTTTTGCCCCCAAAAAGCCTGCCATCTATATGCATGGCATTTCACAAAGAGGCTTACAATCTAAAAACAGACATAAAGGTGACAAGAGAGGAAGGTGGAGTAAATCAAAGGAAAAGAAGACTATGTTATTATTTCAATGAAACATAGTTTGGTTTAGTTGCAGTATGGTACTGGAACTAGAGGTTGTGCCAAAGGCTCTAAAGAAAAGGTGAAGTTTTAAGGAAGTTGAGAGAATGGAGACACTTTGAGAGACCATTGCAGCCATAAAACCATTCCTCTATGTGGTAGCTAATGATTTCATATATTTAAGAGGTACACTCTGCTCTGCTACATTTCCCAATGACCTTTTGCCCAATATAAAACAAGGTGAATGCATAATACAGACCAAATTTGCCTCTGGAAAGGAAGAACTATTCCAGAGGACAATTACTGGTTTAAGTAATCTTACCTCTAGATCTGTTTCCATGAAGTCAAACACTAGACTAATGTTGGATTTGTGACCAAATGCATCAAGCAGCTGGAACAAAAATACATACAAATTTGTTAACTGGTTTTGTGCCCTGATCATGGGTGGCTCCAGATCTGAAAAGACATCACACAATGAATGAAAAAAGCATAGTTATGGCTTTTGTTCCAATCTTGTATGTCTTTGTACCTCAGAAACAGGAGCACTAAGCAGTTAGAAAATTAAACAAATATAAGATGTAAACTATGGTTTGACTGTACTTTTAAAATCTGGGTTCTAGTCCCCGCTCAGCCATGGAGCCAACTGGGTGACTTTGGGCCAGTCACAGACTCTCAGCCCAACCTACCTCACAGGGTTGTTGTGGGGATAAGGTGGAGGAGGAGATGTAAGCTGCCTTGAGCTCTTTGTAGGAAAAAGGCAGGATATAAATTGAAAAATAAAAATTGAAATAAAAAAAATCTGATAACATAGATTGGGTTTCTAAACCACAGTACATGTGATGCCTGAAGGTAAGCCAGTACCAATGCCTGATTCATATTATTACACCAGCTGAAGAGGAGATGCTGCTACTGCTTTCCCTTTCCCCATGATTGTGGTGGTTATGTCAGAAATACACTGGTTGGGTAATTTAGGTTATTCCTTCCTATGTGAACATCAGCAACACTTACCTGACAAGGAAACATGTCACCTGTCCCTCCCATGTGGTTCTAAGGGGCATCATTTAATTGAGTGGGAAGAAGCTGCAGATAAGCTGCTTACACAGTACTCCAATAATGTATGACTATCCAAATGGCTTTCCCAGCCATTAACTATCATTTCCTATACTTTGAATGCTAACAGATCTAAAAACAGTAGGTAATTTGGGAAACTTCTCTTAGAGGCATAGCTATTTTGAATTGAATACACCCATAAATATAAAATGGATAAATTATTTCCTTCAAACAGCATTTGATACTTACCCCAATAATATTTGGATGGCTAAGCTCCTGAAGCAGTTTTATTTCTCGAAGGGCTGTTCTATTGATACCTGATTTGAAAGAAAACACAAGAAGGCTGTAACACCATGAAACAACCCTCAATGAAGTACACTTGTGCTCCCTTAAGTGTCTCAAAGTCACCCTGCATGAGAGGAGTTGGTACTTGTATTTTTGCCTCTATTTAGGCCACATACCAAGCTGGATTTATGTTCATGTGATAATGGCTTCAGATCCTGAATTTCCCTAGTTGAGGTGAATAGGTCTGTTTTTTCCAGAAAAATGTCCACAGAAGGGGCTATGGCTCAAAGTCACAGCATTTTGAATATCTCAGATTCTATATCTAATTCAATCACTGGCTTTTCTAGTTAAAAGAAATTTTGCCTTAGTTGGAAGAGACACTGCCTGTCAGACTGTAAGAGACTCTGTTAGCTGGACCAATGGTCTGATACCATGTTAAAGAGGATTTGGAATATTTTAAAAGATTAAGAAGATATAGCATGCTCAACTTTTCATGGACAGAAGATTATTCCAGGCTGCCCCTGCCCCCCCCCCCAAAAAAAGACCCAAGGCTTGGCTTGAAATATTTTAGGAAAGAACAGTATTCCAGGCAACTGTATTTCCGATTCACTGCATCCTGAGTCAGTTAAACAGGCTTGTTGCTATTCAAACAAGGTCAAAGTATATCTGCAGATGTTATGTGACATTACACTTTTCAACAAACTTCAGTGTTCCTATACTAGGAAGGAAATCAATAGCAAAGACAAAAGGCAATGCTAATCCACATCTTTCCTGCTTCTTTAATAGAATGGCAAGCACTTATTTTGGACTGAGTCCAAGAGGTTCTTCCTTTCCTCAGACTATGTTCCACAGCACAATTATAGCAATCCGCAGAAACTCCCATACAAGTTAATAATATTTAACAGATTTAGGAGGCCACTCAGGATTCATGTTTAGACAACTTCCAACTCAAGTGCAATGGTTGACTGAGGAATGCTGGCTGCTGTGTGACTTTTCTCTGTCTAAACGTGCACAGGATTGTGTCTTTAGCCATATAAGCCAACTGCTTTCAGAGCTCAGCTTTGTTTGCTATCCATTTGCTTGATTTAATATGTTGGTATCCACAAGTTGGTGTCCATATTTAAAGTAGTAAACAGCTCAGAAACAGGCCGTCTCAGAAATAGCTGGCTTCTGTGATCAACTTTGAACACTCTGTTCTGTCCATATGAAAGGTGAGCGGACCCAGGACAGGGCCTTTTCTGTGGTGGTGCCATAACTGGGGGAGACGTGTCTTTTTTTTGTCTTATTTAGGTTAGCTTTTTATCAGTAACATGTTTTTATCATATTCCTGATGAGGCACTGCTACTTGGTTTACTATATAACAACTGGTCTACTTCAAAAGAAAAAAAAATCACTTCTCATTTATTACCTCTTCCTCTCACAATTGAAAAGATAAATGGGTTTCATTTATGATTGTAGTTAATGATATTCAATATCAGCGAAGTAGTATTTCAGTACTTACCATCTTTAGCTTCTGATCTATGCCCAAGTTTGATCTAAAATACAGTATTTTTAAAATTAAGACAATATTGTTCATTACCAAATTCAAGTCAAGAGACTATAGTAGTTCTATGAATTTACAGTGACAACCCAGTCCTACGCATCTTAGTGGGATTTACTCTAAGTGTGCAGCCTGCAATCTTGGAAGTCCGATAGCTGTGGGCAAGGTGAGTTTCTGGAAAGGTTGCCTGCTATTACTGATGATATCACTGAAAAAATCTTGATAAACTTTCAAGGAAACCCAGTGTTCCTCACAATACAGTTTGAAAAGTACTGCACTGCAGTTTCAAGATGCTAGAAGTCACTAGTCAGAACCAGTGTCTGAACCGGTGTCTTTGACAAAGTGCTCCAATTCAAACATTGCACAAAGAGATTGTTAGGAAACAACAACTTAGCATTACGTCTAAACTGAGAAATCACAGTTTGCTATCAGGCAAACCATGGCTTAAAGTGGATTTGCAAAATATTTTCTTTAAGAAATCCGTAACTTGTGATGTCTGAACTGAAATCCATCATTATTTTGCTCCACTTCCAGAACCAGTAGATATAGTTTTGCTGAGCAAATGGGAAACAGATTCAGACAAGCAACTTTAGACTATGGTTTGCTCAGTTGTTAGGATGCTCAATACATTGTATGGGATGATCTCAGAATAATGGCAAAGTAACTTACTCACCTTTTTAATAGCAACAATTTGATTTGTATTCTTGTCTCTTGCTTTATAAACTGTAGCAAACTAAAGAGAAAAAAATCTGCATATTAATAATTCAGTTTTCTGATGGTGTATAGCAGGACTACAACCCAGTTTTATTTGTTCATAAAATGCTTAGCTTACCTTTTTATAATATCTTTATCAGGAAGGGGGGCAATAAATAGTTGGATAATAATTATTAAAATAACTGTAAACAATGAAATTGTCATAATGACATTTTTTAAAAAGAACATTCCTTGTTTTTCTTGGCATTTTGTGAGCTAGTTAGAACCAGCAACTACAGGAAATCAAATGTTAAATTTAAAGCAAAACAACTTAACAGCTATGACACCGCTATCTCAAATGTCAACACATACAGTACCTACACACAAGTGTTATATACAACACTCTGTCTACACATTGCACATTTCATATTCAGAAGGGCTTTCTATGGAGCAGGAATGTGGCACATTATTGCTTCTCTGAGCAGTGAAAACTTTCAAGTGTGATGTTAATATTACACGCTATATCTATGGACTGATCCGTGGCACCTTTTTTGCTATATAATTCCTTCTCCTTTTTATAGTAAAAATAAATTTTAAAGGATTTGATTAAAAAAAAATTCAAGTGTTGTACTTGCTATAGTCTTCACTCTTATTTTATATTGTAGTATCTACTATTTACATTTTTATAATTTAATTTATACTGTCTTTTATATTTTAAATTGTTTGTTAAATTGCTTTGGACCACCCAGAGAGATTTAGTTATTAGACTGTAGTAAAATGTAAAAAATAAAGAACTAAATAGCCTTTTTGATGGAAGGGGAGACTTATGGAGCCTATAAATATATGTAAATAAATAAAATAAATACACAGTCTGTGGCTGAAGACACCCAAGCTTGTAACACCAGTCTGTAGAAGCTTCCCTAGAAAGGAAACAAACTACACAGAGCCTTTTCCCACCATCACCTTTTCATTTCAGATAAAGGAAAGGAAAAATTTAAAATCTGTTGTTCCCTTCTTGATTATTTTGCAATTGCCAACTGTTTCTAACCACTAACTATCAAATTCCAGTTTGGGAACATTTTCCTAAACAACTAATTAAGCAGTCCAACTAGACCATGGGTGAATAACATTGTGCTGGTAATCTGGCAGGCGAGATTTCAATATTCAGTGGATGGCTGCAGCCAGCCCACTGTAGGTTCTATGTGTGGGTAACAGGCCACTGGATTACACCAAGATGGCACACTTGACATACTGCATAGCAGTAACATCTTGTGACCAGCAATGTTAGTTTTTCCTTCTGGATGTTGTTATTTCATTCTAAGCTGCAAAATCCAGGTTCAACCAGTGGATCACAGTTTTTTAATAATGTAATTACTATTCCTTTTTCATGTGCTCACAGCAGTTTCTCAGGATTTCACAAGGACCCAGAGGGCAATAAATCTGGAGGATTTAGAAAGCACCTAAAATTGCTAGGTGCTGTTCCTAGAAATCATGTTCAGCCACAGGCTGCAATCATTTTAAAGAACTCAGCATATATTGAGATAGGCTTCTCATGAAACAGGCATGTTTCTTTTGAACAATAAATTGAGAGAACAGAAGAAACATAAGGACCACACTGGATAGCCCAGCTTTCCATTTATACAGTGGCCAAGCAGTTGCCTATGGGAAACCCAAAGCCAGGGCAAGTGCAACAGCAGGACCATGGATTAGAGTCTCCATCAACTGATGTACACAGGGTGTACTGCCTTCAATACTGTAGGCAGCATATAGTCATTGGGACTAGTAGTCACTGATAGCCTTCTCCATTAATTCATCTATTCCTTCTTTAATACCATCTAAACTAGTGTCCATTCCTACATCTAGTAATTGATTTCATAGTTTAAAAATATCCAGTGGGAAGAATCATAGAATAGTAGGGTTGGAAGGGGCCATGAAGGCCATCAGGTCCAACCCCTTGCTGTTCCAGGACACAAATCTTCACCATTCCACTCAGAATAATGTCCAGTCTTCTTTTTGGGAGAGCCCACTACTTCTCTAGGCAACTGGTTCCACTGGCATATTGCTCTGACAGCAAGGACTTTTTCCTGATATGTAGCCTGAATCTGGGTTGTTCCAACTTGAGCCGATTATTCTGCGTCCTACACTCTGGTATCAGAAAGAAGAGAACTTGACCTCCTTCTTTGTGACAGCCTTTGATATACTTATAGAGGGATATCATGTCCCCGCTCAGTCTTCTCTTATCAAGGCTGAGCATGCCCAGTTCCCTCAGTCTCTCCTCAAAAGGCATTGTTTCCAAACCCTGGATCATTTTTGTTTCACTCCTCTTGACCCATTCTAATTTTTTTGCATCTTTTCTTTTTCAATTCTGTTGAGTGCCATGTATTCCTCATCTTATATCGATGCATTTGGTTTATCTCTCCTAAGTGGAGGACTTGGTACTTGTCCCTATTGAATCTCATTTTTGGCGCTTTCAGCCCAGCACTCAAGTTTATCAAGATTGCCCTGGATCTTCATTCTGTCTTCTATGGTGTTCACTATTCCACCCAGTTTTGTATCATCTGCAAATCTGATTATCTTTCCTTGTACTTCTTTATCTAAATGGTTAATAAAGATGTTGAAGAGCACTGGGCCCAGGACTGAATTCTGTAGCATGCCACTAGTTACCGCCCTCCAATCTGAGAACATGCCATTGATGAGCACTATTTTTGCCCGATTTAGCAGCCAATTTTGGATCCACCTAATAGTTTTTCTATCTAGTCCACTTTTTGCTCCTTTGCTTATCAGAATATCGTGGGGCACTATGTCAATAGTTTTGCTAAATCCATGGTAGATTATGTCCACAAGTGTTTCCTCTGTCCATTTGAATGGTTACCCAGTCAAAAAATGAGATTAAATCAGTCTGTCAGGATTTATTTTTGATAAATCCACGTTGTCTTTTATTAATCACTACATTTTTGCAAGGTGCTTGCAGACTGATTTTTAAAATAGTCTGCTCCAGAATTTTTCCAGATGTGCTGCCGTTTATCTGTCCCGTGCTATCTTGTGTGCTAGTTCACTCTGAAACAAGATCCAAATAGGATGCATCTCCTCTCCCCCCTTTTAATACATTATTAAAGAATCCTGAGTCAGTGCCCTTGCAGAGACTCTTGGTAATTTGTAGTTACTTTTTGGTCAAACAGGTGCTTCAAGTGTTCATATACACACACTCTTTACAAGTTTGTCAGAGAAAAAATCCAGGAACAGGATACATATAAGCAGTAATCTCTCTTGGATCTATCCCCTGTAGCCAATTTCTCCTACGGTAACTATAATATTGAAAATTATTAGCTGAAGAAAAACATTACAGGAACTTCTTATTTTATTTGGAGTGCACAAAGTACTTCACCTATATTGGTTTTATAATTGCTGCAAATCTGTAAAAGAGGAATGATAATACTAAGTTATCTCACAGGTGGTAATAGTGATGGGCTGCAGAAACAGAGTGTTTAAACTACTTAGTGACGGCTAGTGAGTTTGAAACAGAAATAAGAACAGGGTTACAGTCTTAGCACCTATAGCTGCACTGGATCTCTAGAAACCAGAAAATTTCTGGATGTTTTTTAAGGGGAGAAAAACACAGCATGAAAAGCTGGGACATAACTAAGTGAAGGAAGAAGATGCTTATTTTTGCAAAGGTTTGTGAAAACTCTGCCCACAGATGAATGGAAGAGCAAACTATAGAAGGGAAGAGATGAAGACGCTCCTTTAATCAAAGCTGTCCCTCATTAAAAATAATACCCAAAAGAGCTTACAGTAGAAACAAAACCACATAAGGATAAGAACACCAGGAAGTGCTTAATAGTACTGGATCTGGACTGGGGTCACTCAAGTTCAAATCTCCACAGACTAGGTGACCTTGGCCCTATCTGTGCACCCAACCTATAAGATTGGTGAGCCAATAGAAAGAGGTGTGGGGAGAAGAGTCTTGTATGCTGCCTTGGAGGAAAAAAAAGAAGTAAAATGGCAAATCACACACCACAACTGGTCACCCAGGAGAGGAAAAAAGAAACCTAACAAGAGCTCTGCTGGATCAGAGCAAAAGTCCATCTAGATCAGTGCGCTGCTCACAACGTGGCCAGTCAGTGAGCCACTGGAACCCATAAGCAGGTCATGAGTGCCATGCCCAGGGGACCCGGTCACTGGAGCACACAGGCATATGCCTGTGGCCCTGGGAGAAGTCTACAACCCTCTAAGAGACAGCAGGGCACGGTGGTTCGAACGCTGGGTAGGGTGGCCTTGGCAGCTCCAGGTTCGAGCCCCCCCCCCCTTAGCTCATTGGCGTCAGTCACTGACTCAGCCTAGTCTACCTCAGTGGGCTGTCAAGAAGGTTCAACGGCGAACAATTTAAGCCGCCTTGGGTTCCTCACAACAGGAAAAAGGGTGGGATATACACGTAAGCATAATAGCGTGAATACTAATATAGCCTTCTCCTCCATGAATTTCCCCGATTCCCCTCTCAAAGCCCACCAAACTGGTGGCCATCTCTGCACCGTGTGCAGCCGAACTCCACAGCGTCAGTGTGCGCAGAAGGGCTTTCCTCTCATCACCCGGTGCTAGTTCACCCTGAAACGAGATGCGTCCGGGACGCGTCTTCTCGCCTCCGCGTGAATGCAACGAAAGGAACTTCTGCAGCGGCTGCCGCCGATTCTCAGACACGTTCCCTCGGTCGGCTGCTGCTTACCTGCCCTTCGCCCAGGAAGTCCAGCTTTTCGTAGCGCTTGGCACGCGCCCGGGCATCCATCCTGCGAAAAGGCCCGGTGGGGGAGGGGAAGCGAGGCGCTTTAAAACCGTCGCCAGCTAGAAACACGCACCGCGACGCCCGGCATGGGACGCGCAGCGCTCCGTCGCCGCTTCCTGCTCCTCCCCGCTCCCGCGGAACTCCGCCCCTTCCCTCGCCTCTCTAGCCTTATTGTGACCTTCTGCGCATGCGCCAACGCTGCCCAAAGAAGCTGGTTCCTGAGGGCTTCTTCCGCCCTTCTAACAATCTCCAACGCCAGAATATTTGAGTAACTCGCTGGCGCTACCATAGATACAAATTACTATTTGCTCCGCATGTCATTTCATTGGAGTTCGAGGTCCCCATATTGTTCCTGTGTGGCTCATAATAGTAGCCTGCGAAAGTCCTGGATTATTATGTATCTTCATATTGCACTCAGAAGCGGGACTGAGGCTTGCTAGGATGTGCCAAGTAGTTTCTGACTGATGCCGACCCTATGTATGAAAGCCTTCCAAAATCCATAGCAGCACTGCTCAGCTTTTATAAATTCAAGGCTATAGCTTCCTTTATGGATCAATCCATCTCACATTGGAGCTCTGATACTCAGCAAAAAGATTCAAACATAAAACATACTTCATTTTGAGCTAAGCTATCTCGGCAGCTCAAATTCATTACTCAGTTCCATTAATTCCATTGGACTTGTATACAGCCACACGACTTTTAAATATGTTTTATATACTTACGCACACATAGATAACTTGTAAAACACTTTCCACGTGACAAAGTCTGAATTACTAAGAATGTTAAGTTCTCCCTCTGCTGTCTTTTGTTTCTGTCTAAAGCTCGCTAAAGTGTGGCGTTTCCTATAATTTTCTAAGGGCAGCTTCCAATTGCCTCCGGGAGACCGAAGGTTAAGCAACTCGGAAGTTTGAGGACCGTGTAATTCTTTACAAATCTATGGCGAAAAAAATCGTGGCCACGTTTTTAATTCTTTGCTGTTAATGAACTCACAAAGCTTGCTCGTATTGTGACATTTTACCGGGCTTGAAAATGGCATTGCCAAAAACAAACGGGTGGACAAAAAGGATGCTTTGTCCGATAGAGAAGAAAGGTCCAAACGCATTTCTGAGTAAATGCTGACCTTTTTGGGGAGCCTTTTAAAAACATGTATAAAAGCCTAATAAAGGTACTTTCCAGTTGGTTATTTATAAATCTATGGTCACTAAATTCAGTCGGAAACAATTTTCTCAAAAAGACCTGCCCTTTTATGTTCCCAAGCTCCAGGTCCTACGGTGCATGGCTCCTGAGACAATTGAAGAGAATTGGATGCTAATCTGAATGCACCTGCATTTGAGGAAGCAGCACGCTGTATATCCTAATAGACTTCAGGCATATTTTTGTTTGGGCTGTCTCACACATATGCTTCCTTCTTTTTATTTCAGCATTTATACTCCTATCTTTCTGAAAAATAATCAAGGCAGCTTGTTCAAGAAACCAAGCAGCAAAGACAATGAGTGTGTGTGAGACAAAGTGTGAGTGAACCCTAACATCCAGTTACAGTGAACAGTGTTTTGTGGTTCACAATTTAAGAACCTCTCACAGCAGAAATTATGCAATCCAAAGTGGTGATGTCATTTTCATGGTGGACAATAATTTAAAAGAAAAGAAAGTATTCCATAGTCATGTGAACATCATCATTTGCCCTGCAAGCATTTATAGTGGTATCTTGGCTCACAAACTTAATCCGTTCCAGGACTCTGGTTGTGACCCAAATTGGTCATGAGCCAAGTCAAATTTCCCCATAAGGTTCAATGTAAATAAGGTTAATCTGTTCTGTAACTATTTTTTTAATCAGAAAAATGTGAAGCAAAGTGATAAAGAACAATAAAGATTGCGGCCATCTACCCCCACCACCCCAAGCACGACCGCTATCATGCCCGTCATCCCTGCACGCGCCCATCATCCGGCACGCTGGTGGGCGGGGGAGAGATGGCGCGATTGTGAGCATGCTGGGGGAGGGAGAGATGGGCACGAATGGGGCGTGCTGGGGGGGAGATGGGTGCGAACGCGGGCACACTGTGGGGGGAGAGACAGGCGTGAACGTGAGCGCGCTGGGGGGAGAGATGGCCGAGATCGCGGTTGTACTCCTGTAGGAAAGACGGGCGCGATTTTGGCCATCTCGCCCCCGCCCCCAGCACAATCATGGCCATCTCCCCACTTGGAGGGTGGGGAGATGGCCGCAATCGCAGTCGCCACCCAATGCGGAGTTCATGACCTGAGTCAAAATTTTTATGAAATTTTTGTTTGCAACCAGATTTGGTTGTGAACTGAGGCATTTGTGAGCCGAGGTACCACTGTATTTGCAATGTGTATTTACTGTCTTCATTACTCAGTAGAGTATTTTACTCTGCATAAATGCTTCTGGAAGAGCTGGAAATGAATGTAGCCATCAGGAGTGAAGACTATTAAACGAAATGACACAATCATCTGTTGTACTATTATACAACTTCCTATATAATCAAGCATAGGTTGGAAAGGTTTTTTTTTTAATATCGGCAGTTTTGCAGCAATTGGATCTCACTTTATTATCTTTCACTTGCAGTACCTTAACTTAACACACTTATTCATTCTAAACCAAGAACCATTCCCACTGTGCCTTCAAAAGATGGCAGGGGGGTAAAGGGCAAAAGTTTTAACTGCCTGGCTTAAGATGGAAACATTAGTGTTGATTAGAAAATGCTTTTTTTCCAAATTAAAAGTAACATCAATAAACAATATCTAGAATTGAACATTTCACATAAAGCTTTCAGGTTCTCTATCCTTAGCTGGTACATTTTCAGATGTAAATAATTTTTTCTATCAATAATGGTCCATATTAGTAGCTGGTACACTTTTGAAAAGCAAAAACAAGATTTAATGTATAAAGATTTGAAGCATTTGTTTCAATTTGACATAAGCTTCAATTATCTAGCATACTCAAATTTAACTTAGAAACAGGTCTACAGAGATGATATGTTGAATTCAATTGTACTTTTCTGTTTACAGATGGCTATTTCATCCAACAAAGACTTCTGTAAGTGAAAGGGAAGCAATTTTTGCTACTTCCCCCTTTCTCCTACAGTCTCCAAATCACCTCTCGCATTGTTCGGGAGGGGTCCCTAGAAAATATTTTGGGGAGATGTAGAGGGAGGGGAAATCAGCGTAAATTGGCATCTCATTTGTAGACTAAAGTCTTCACTCAATCAAAGTCTTCCATGAATGAACACAGTAGGAAACAATCTATAGTGATTATAAATAAAAAGAATGTTCGAATCATTCTGTTTTCAAAACCATTATATTAAAAATGTTAGGTGCTTATCACAATATTTGACCTACAGAATATATGACTTGTGACTTCCATCATTCCTAACCAGAAATGCTAATGGAGAAAATAAGGAATCGCAGGCTGAAATATGGATAGGGCCACAAGTTGCCAGCTCAACTTACTGTAAGACATAGTAAAATAAGTTCTGGAATATTCTGGGCCACTTTGCATTTTACAGTTATTCCAAGCAGAATGCTGTAATGCCCACACATGAACAGTTTAGGATAAAGGCTTATTTTTCTTTATAGAAGCTTATAGACAGATAAATTTGCTATAATTTATCTGTGTTAGTTATGTTTTCTTCCTTTTCCTCTCTCTTGTTATTGTGATCTGGTGTTTTTGCTGTTTTAAACTTTAATATTGTTTCTGATTTTATATTTTTATTGTACTTCTTTTATGATCTGTTTTTATGGACTGTGTAAACCTGTGGGGTATAGAAATGAATTAAACTACTTCATTGAATCCACTAATTATAAAAAATTTTGTCCTGGTACTGGGCAGGTTCACATGACACACTTAGTCAACCTGAAATAAGCCATGCAGTCAAGATTGCTCATGAAACGATTCAATTTACTGGGCTCATTGTGGGTCTCTCTCTCTTTGCTCTTCCCCCTGTCCTTCTGCTGGCTCTGGCACATATCCCAGGGGTCTTCATGGCAGCATTCACATGCATGCTGCTCTCTTCACCAGCCTATGTGCTTGTTTCATTCACCCACTCTCCAGCTTCTCCCCATCTTGCTTCATATCTTCCCCACACTCTCTGACTTCCCAGGTGGTAGTTTCTGTTGAAGCTGCAGCTACCCCATAACAATACTGGTAAAACTGCTTTCATGTAACCTTTTTCCTGCCTTTGTTGCTTCAGATGGGGAACATTTTTTCCTCTTAAGTAATTTCCTGAAGAACATGTATTATGCTGTTGGATAAAAGAAATGCATCTTGCTTTCTTTATTGCCAGATAGGCATTAGGGAAAAAAGCTATATCAAGGTTTTCTTTTTACTGTTACTAGGCTGACATTTGCTACCAGATATTTAATTCTCCCATAGTATATCTGTTACTGCTATCAAAGAGAGAACAAAACTTAAGTATTGTGTAGAATGAAAAAAATTTAATACCATAGTTGAGTAGAGTCGAACAGTTACTCAAAACAGAACTGTCTTCTGATTTGGAACACAGCCACTTTCTGAAACATTGATGTATTCATCCCTCAAGAAAGGCCATTAACACAGCTGTTTGCCTACAGATGTTTACCATATTCAGAGAGCAAGAAAGGCCTTTGTTGTGAATAAAAGAGTTTCTTTTTCAGCAGTAACTAACTGCACAATCTTCTGTGTTATTCTGGACCTCCACGCTGCAAGAGAAAATGTTAGTCATTGAACTTTTAATAGAAAAATCAGTTCTTGCATTCTTACTTGTAATTAGGTTCCCTTTGTCTTTGAGAAACCAATGATCTATTTATTATATTTTAGAATTTCCCAGTAGCCTAAGTTTTCTGTGCAAATCACACTCCCTCTAAAGGACAGGGTCCACGGCTTGGGTGTATTCCTTGACCTGGAGCTGTCACTGGAAATCCAGGTGGCAGCGGTGGTGAGGAGTGCTTTCCTATAGCTTCAGCTGGTCCATCAGCTGTGTCCTTACTTGGACAAAGACTGCCTAGCAACGGCAATTCATGCTCTGGTAACCTCCAGGTTGGATTATTGTAAAATGCTCTACGTGGGGCTGCCCTTGAAAACGGTCTGGATACTTCAGCTGGTACAGAATAGAGCGGCCAGGATGCTGATGGAGACCAGTCGTTATTCTCGTATAACGCCGGTCCTCTACCAGCTCCACTGGCTCCCAGTTGAAGTCTGGGCCCAATTCAAGGTGCTGGTTTTGATCTATAAAGCCCTGAACGGCTTGGGACCAGGATACCTGAAGGAACGTCTCCTTCCGTATATGCGCTCACACCCCTTAAGGTCAGTGAGGGAGGCCCTGCTCCGAGAACACTCCCTGGAGGTACAAAGGGCATCTACTCAGAGCAGGGCCTTCTCTGCGGTGGTGCCCAGATTACAGAATGCGCTCCCTAGATAGGTTTGCCTGGCACCGAGGTTATACTCTTTTTTTTGCCAGGTTAAAACCTTTTTATTTAACTGGTATTTTAAAAACTACTATTAACTGTAACAGTTGCGTTTTATTGCTTTTACCACTGGATTGTTTTAATGTATGTAATTTTATTGATTGTTTTAATGTTTTGACTGTGAGCCATCCCGAGATGCCTTGCATGGGGGATGGCATACAAAACAAATGAACAAATAAATAAATAACGTGAAAATACAAAATAAAACCATGAAAATTTTAAGATGGGAAAAATATAAAACAAATAGCACTGGATGAAATATTCAGCTATAAAACCTAAAATTCTAAACTCTAAAATGCCTGGTAAACAAGAAAGGCAAATAAAAAACAAGCAATACAAGTGCTAGGCAAGCCTCATTATGAGGACATTCCGTTAATGGGGCACCACAGCGGAGAAGGCCTTCTCTCTTGCAGCCGACTGTTTGACTTCCCTTGGAGGGATGCTTGAGCAAGAGTCTCTGAGCACGATATGAGAAGGCCCTTGCAAGAGGAGACCTTCCTTCAGAACACTTTAGCATTGATGCCTCACCTTAGGAGGATACAGAATCACAGCAAGCTGCACCTAACGTTTTTATTGCTGTTTGGACTTCTCATGCCATGCTATCTCCCCACCTACTACTTACAGTCACAAGAGATTGACGACGTCCTCCTTATTCAGCTGTGTGATCCAGTAGAGTGTTTATCTGACTCCCACAGGCACAAGCCATGGATGAAGTTTAAGTGTCAACGGGAAAACTACGAACAGTCCCTTCCCCCAAATACTGCCTCCCACTGGACATGTTTGGAGGAATGATTATTCGATATTTAACACAATTGCATTCGAAGGGGCAGAACAGAGCAGCAGGTATTACTTAAACACAATTTCAGGTGTAAGAATAAATGGTTATAAAATTGGACACAAACTATTTCTACCTATGAGAAGAGTTAGGGGAGGAAATACCCTCACTGCCAGAACTACATGTTTTTGAAAGGTTATTTCATTTTTTTATTATGATACTTCAACTGTGTCCGCTGTGGTCAAGAAATGACTTTTCCCCTCTAATATCCTTGCAGTTTTCTTACCCACTTTTTCCTGTATGTCAGGAATAGCAATAAGCAAAGACAGGATTTCAGTGGGAGGCCATGTACAGTGAAAACAATATACTCGGGTAAGTTTTTCCCTAATTGTGGAACTCCTTTCTTACTTACTTATGCCTTACTTTTCTGTATTCAGAAAAGGAGCTTCCTCTTAACATTGGTTATCTATCTGAGATTGTGATTGGTTTTGGTGTTTTAGAGCTGCCTTTCTATGCTTGCTAATGTGGCAATTGAAACTTTTGTTTCTTACTATTGCTTGTTGGTACATCACTTTGTGAGGGTGCAGCATTTAAAGGTACTAAAAGTGCTTTAAATAAATATACAAAAAGGCTTTACAAGTATTCAGAGAATGGGTGGTAAAAGCACAACTCCAGATATTGCTGGATGATATGGATTATCTTGGCCCATCTCAAACTAAAGGTTAGAAAGCAAGCTTTTCTAAGAGATTTGTGGGGGAGTGTTCTGGACAGTTCAGTGGCTTTTGATGCCACTGACAGTAGAATCCTTCAAGATCACTAATCAGGGATAGAAATAGGGAAACCTGTGTTCTAGTAGATGTATTCTTATCCAAAAGAGATTCTGGCCCCTGGGGCATATTTTCTTTGCACTATCACATTTTTGCTATGAGGTCCCATAGATGTAATAATAATAATAGCTCAATTTGATCTTCCAAGCTATTTAACATCTACATGAGACTAACTGAAAGATCATCTAGGAATTTGAAATTAATGACCCTGTCACAAGTAACCAGGCTTTAATAATGTTGTAAAGTTTTATTACTGCAATACTTGGTATGTGGAACTTCTGAAAAACCTTTGGAAGCTTCAGCTGGTTCAAAATACAACAGGCAGCCTGCTGATCAGGACCAGCTGGTAGAAGCACATTATGTCTATTCTCAAAGATCTACATCAACGTCAGGCCCAATACAACATGCTGGTTTTAATCTTAAAGCTCTCTGCATTCAGGAATGAAGTTTCCATGAAGTTATAGCTGCTCCCTTATGAACTGGAGGGGAAGCTGAGATTAGAGGCCCTTCCCTGAGTGCCCTTCCTGACTTTCCATATAATGTTAAATAGTTAGCAGAGAGAGATGCCCTTCTGTGGTTTCATCTCTTCCGAACTCCCTCCCATAAAAGATCCACATTTACGTAGTGTTTCCCTGCCCTCTAGGAATGACACAAAGGTTATTACCAAGACTTTTGCTATTACCTATTACCAAGATTGTTGCTATTACGTTTATCATTTTATTTAGTTATTCATGGATTTTCGTTTTAGTTTGGCCAACAGGCCACTAGAATTGTTTGAATTTGTGGCTCTTTTATCTATAGTCTAGTTCTCCATTGGTATTTTTTCCTGCTGTCCAGATTGTATTTTTTTACTATTTAAATTTTGTTTTAATTAGTTATTCAATTTAATGGCCACTGTGACTGCCATTTTGTGGGGAAATGTCTAATAAGAAAACATGAGATAAGAAAATAAATGGGAAATATCAGGGAACTTACTTGGATGTACTCCATTTCTTCAACCGATAGGAGTTTCCTTCGATATTTTTGAGGCAATGTTTTTACTAATTCTGATGTGTCAGGTGTGCCTTGTGTTCTACCACTGAGAGAAATATTTTGAAGGGATGGTGACCCACCTCCTGCAGAGAATTGTGAGGATGATGCATGAAGAGGAGGCACTCTTGATTGTAGGGGGTCTTGCACTGAAGGGACAAGAGAAACAGGGTCAAAACCACCTACTACTCTGGCCATTAAGATCGGGGTGGTGCCCCTGCAGACTGCAAATGGCAGGGGGTAGCAGGTAAGGCACTACATCCATATGCACATGCATGCGCGCGCACGCACACACACACACAGTTGCCCCACATCTCTGTGAGTAGGGAGGCTTAAACCTCCCCTCCTTGTGCTCTGGGATAATTTCTCACCTCGCCATTACTAATCAGCTGGGTGAGGTGTGCCGTACAATAGAGAATGTTGCATGCAGGGATGATTTTCCCCATGAGCCAACTCCTTTAGCCTAGCTGGGCTCCTGACAGCCTGCCTGAGAGTCATCCCCACACCTACTTTTCCTCACCACGCTCTTGGTAGTGTGTGTGATTTAGGGGGATGGTGGTGGCTGTGAAGGCCTGCCTGCATGTGCCCTATATTGTGTAATGTTCAGAGTGGCAGCCACATTAGTTGTTGTAGCAAAAAGAACACAGTCTTATGGCACCTTGAAAACTAATGTATTTATTATGACATAACCTTTCATGGACTAGTTTACTTCTTCAGGTGCATGAAGTGTTATCCTCAGTCACAAGAAAGCTGCATGTCCAATTTGCTGAAGATGACAATGACAATTCCATTTAATTACATGATGTTAGAGGATGAGAAAACAAGATGAAATGTTTCAGATACTTTAAGGAGCTCAGGATACAGATTAAAAATAGAGAAAATAAATGTCTAAAAGCATCTGAAAACTGCATGCCACAACTACCATCACCACCACTATCATTCATTATATTATTCAAAGTCTTTACCAGCTTACTGGCTTGGTCAAATTTAATGTCCAATGTAACAGCAAATGTTAGTTCAAACAGATTTCTTATCTAAATCCTAGACTTGCTTATTCAAGTAAATAGGATTCAGTTCTGAGAAGTCATACCTAAGATTGTCTTAAGAAAGATCTTTCCAAACATTTTTATGAAAGACATTAAAATGAATGCACTTTTACAAAAACACATACTTACTTTTAGGTTTAGGAGTACTTTTTCTGTCTGGAAACTTAATTAATGGTGTATGCGGCTTGACTACCTAAAGGAAAACAAGTAAATGGAAATAAGATACACTAGGAAAGCAGGACAATGTACATATTAAAATGTCTCAGGTAAACTGAGTGTAATCCATCAAATACTGTTTTTGCACAGTCTCCAGTATGGATGATAGGGTTGCCCAAACCAGTTCAATTGAGATGAAGGACCAACAGTAACAATAGCTTCTGAACTGAATGTTCCTGCATATACTTATTTCAACAACCTGTGGTGCTTCACAATTTAATAAAAACTCTACAGAAGATAATATTGGACTAGTTCCACTACTACAATTATATGAATTCTGGATACATGCATTAATCCAATAGGTATTATAACTGATCTTGTAATTTAGATACTCTACATATCTAAGGATGCCTAAAGACAAATATAACCATAAATGCAAGACTAATTCTTGTACTACTCAAGGAGGCAGGTTTATCTACTCAGACGATTAGGAAGGTATCACTGCAGAATCCAATGGTCATACAGAATTTCATGTTCACTGATGGCACCAATTATTTAGGATGGAAAAAAAACCCAAAAGGATTGCAAAGAGCTCCAAAAAGATCCCTCAGAACTGGGAGAATAGGAATCTAAATGGCACTGTGGTTCAATGTAAAGTGATGCACAATGGAAGAAGAATCCAACATCATGCATAAAATGATGGGATCCAAGGCAGCAGTTACTGACCAAGAAAGACATTAGAATTGCAGTGGATGGCTTGATGGAAAAGCCAGCCCAGTGTGCAGCTGCTGTAAAAAGGGCAAATTCAATGTTGGACATAATTAGGCAAAATCATACTGACCTTATACAAATCTATGGTGTGACCACCCTTGGAAATGTTTACAGTTCTGGTCATCACACCTAAAAAGGATATTGTAAAGTGGAAAAAGGTGCACAAAAAGGGCAACCAAAGCTATCAAGGGGTGCAAGTAAATCCTCTATAAGAGAAAGTGGACAACATCTAGGACTGCTAATCTTAGCAAGAAGTGGGGACAGGGTAGTGGTAAACAAAATTATGCACAGTATGAAAAAATAGACATTTTTCCCTGATGAAACTGATGCTATAAATTCTGATTCAGGATCCTATGAAACTGATTAGTGGGAAATTCAGGACAAAAGAAAAAAGCATTTTATACAGTGCATAGATAAACTATGGAATTGGCTACCACAACGTATTTTAATGACCACCAACTTGGACAGTTTTAAGGGGGTATTATATAAATTCATGGGGGATAAGGCTATCAGTAATTAATAGTAGTTATGGTCATATGCTATAGGCAGTATACATATGCATATCAATTGCTGGGGAATATAAGCTATTGTGCTCATGTCCTACTTGTGGGTTTGCCACAGACAGGTCTTGCTCACTATATAAAAAGAATGCTGGACTAGTTAGATGCTTAGTGTGATCCAGCATGGCTCTTCTGATATCCCTACTGAATTAATTACCTGTATTATTTTCCTGTTTTATTAGGACAGTATTGTTATAGGACAGAAAAGGGAGGTATTGTGCTGCTTGCACCATCTACCTAATGAATGATTATGGGAATACCACCCCTTTTTCTCAAGAAATACTGTGAGTTTGGCCAACCTGTCTCAGAAGTAACAGTCCATAGCTGTTGTAATTACTTATTTAAAAGTATTTTTACTCCACTCTTGAGCAGGAAAGGCCCCCAGAGTGGCTCACCTAAATAATACAGTATCACCCAGCTTTTAGGCTTACAACCTAATGCATGAAACAGAATAGATGGGATGGAAAGATGAAAACAGATAAATTCAGGCACCAGTTCTTAAATTTATAAGATTTTATAAGGACTAGCTGGGACAACAAGAATTCAAGGAATTAAATGGGGCTATTCTCTCCAAAGAACCAACTGAGTGACCCTGTTTTTCATTTCTTACACTGCAGTCTGCTGGGTTGGCTACTGCTAGTAATATGAGTCATTTGTTATGTTCTGTGAAAGTATAAATTAGTGGAATAAAGGAAATGTAATCTAGAGTATTAAAACTGAGAGAGGAACCACATGATTGAATTACAGAGTGAAGAAATAGGAAATAGGAAAGGTGTTCTCCCCACTCCCAGCCAGCCATATCAAACAAGCAGGCTGAAATGGGTTTGTGATAGGCAATAGACTTGCAGTAAGAACTTAAGAAACAGCTTGCTGAATTAGACTAAAGGTCCACTTCTTTCAAACTCTTGTTTTTCACAGTTCTAACAAGTTGCCTCCAGGATGACAACAAGCAGAGCATCACCCACTCCTCTGATTCAAGTTTTCCCAAGCTTAAGGTAGAAAGAGAGGCAAAGACAGAGACATTCAGATAAAAAAAGGTAGAAGAAACTCTTATTGTCTGGATAGATAGTTTCCTGGTTTGCAGTGAGAAGTTATTTTAAACCATCTCCAGAGAAAGAAGAAAGTGGTAGCCACATAAATTAATGGGAAAATCTAAGATTTTAATATAATAAAGATTAGGCACAAGCAAGGCTCAGAGACTTCCCTGCTTCCAAACCAGCAGAGGACTGAGTATACTCAATGTGCACATTAAGTTAACTGACTGTGGGGAGAAGAAGAAACATGAAACTAAGTGCTTTGAATCTTGAACTGTATGCTTCATACTGATGGGCCTCACTTGTAATGCTTCTAAACACAAAGATTGCATAGAGCCAGTTTTAGAATAGCCTTTGATAACTTTATCCTTCAGTGGCTGTTCTAATTCCCATAATGCCACCTAAAGTGTCAAACTAGGCAATGCCTAAAGGTGCAATATCATCCATAATTTAATAGAAAAAGTCCTACAATGAACCAATTGGAGAGTGCTATAAACTTGAATGACTCTCTAAATGTGCACAAGACTTCTTAAATACATTGCTAACAAGCACTTCTGGGTTTTTAAGAAAATGTAATAGCAGACACATAAGAGCACATAAGTGTATTACCATGAAGACTGTACTGGGGGAAGAAAGGCTTAAATCCCAGCTCTCTATATGGTGCAGTCTTTATTAAAATCACTAACTCTCTTTACCTTTTATTAAGTTAAACAAAACAAAACAGATTAACAGGAGCAGTAGGTCCCAATACCTCATTTAGCATTACAGCTAAGTGAGTAAAAATGAAGTCAAACTGCTTATCAACAAATCTTGCCAAAATTGTAATAGTATCCCAGCTCCCTGCCTTGCTTGAGGAATCATTCAACTGAGGGATCGACAGCCTCTAGCTTGGGACTCTTCTAAACACGGTTATTCCGCGCAACGTCTAAATTCCTATTTAGGCGACAACTTGTCAGTAACACGAGGGCTGTGATCCTCTGTCCGATTTATTTGGGAGTCACAACTTCATAGCAGAAGTGCAGGATCGACCTACGAGGATCCCAAAGCCGCACGATTGAACTGCCATCGACCCCATCGACTGGGCAGCCTGGGCGAAGATGGAGAAAAGAAAGCCTCCAGAAACAGCTATACAACCTTCAGATTCTCTCAGACGAAGGAAACGCTTCGGATCTTTCCAAGGAGACAAAGACAACAGCAAGCAAGACCCCAGCCGAGCGCCCGCCAAGTCACTGGGCACCTCCGTGTCCCTCTCCTCTTTCCTTTTCCCACCCAAGGGCACCGGCCTCAGCTGTTCTCACCCGGGCAACTACTCGGCTTCCAATCTCCACCCTTCAGCGCCGGGCCTAGAGCTACTAGCCTCAGCCGGACGGAGGGCTTCGTTGTGCCATCTCCACCGAAGCGATCGGCTTGAAGGACTTACCTGAACGACCCTACTGGCGGCCGCCATCTTGCTACCCATGGTGACACCCCACCCGGGGAAAGGGCCTCCTCCAGGCGAGGCCTGGCTAAGCTCCGCCCCTTATGACGTGACCCTCCCTGGGAAAACGGACTTACCTTTTCAGCTGCTTCGAGCGGGGAGGAAGCGCAGCAGGGACGATACAGGGACATGTCATTTCCCAGGCTGAGGACCGGGATTCAAGTTTATAGATAATCGTATAGTGCTGGATCTGTCCAAGTTGGTAAAGCATTCCTAGCGTGGTCGGTAATTACTATTTGTTAGGCTGGGATTTAACATGAAGGGACAACTGTTGGAAATGCTCTTTTTGTTTGGAATGGCAATTTCCTAGCTTGCACTGAGAGGTTATTTTAAAATGTTCCCAGAGACAGAAGAGGTGACCACGGGAAATGTCCAATACAGGGAATCTGACTATTGGCCGTTCTGACACGGGCTGATAGGAGTTGCATTCCAACAGGCGGGCACCAGGTTGTGAACGTCTGCCCTAACAACATTTATGTTTCTGTTCACTGGCTTGGTTATTTTCTCCTGCCTTGTTCACGCACAGAGAAAATAAGTGTGAAAAGGAGCTCAGCGTTAATTAATTTGTCCTGCCTCTTCAGGAAATAAGCTGTTACAGCATCGTTCCTAGGCACCCATCCCACCGCTGCTTAAATTTTTTTAACGAAGGAAAGCTCACTACCCTTAGAGAAAATCTTCACTGTCAGCTCTTCTTAATGATTAGTCAAAATCCCTCTTTTTGTAATTTGAACCTGGTGGCTTGGGTCTTGTCTCAGAAGAAACAGAATACATAATTTGGCCTATTATTTACATGACTTTCCTCCAATTACTTGAAGACTGCTAGATCATCTCCAGGCTAAACATACTCAGTTCCTTCAACATTTTCCGCACAGGACCTTTCAGACCCTCTATGTTCTAGTTCAGGAATGCATAGCTTGTGCCCCCCCCCCCATAGTTGTAGCCTACAACTTCCATTAACCCTCACTGCTGGCTAAAATGAATGAGAGCTGTGGCCCTCCAGATGATTTGGCCCATAAGCCATCCACCACTGTTCTAGTTACTGATACTGTTCTTAAAAAGCAGTGCCTAGACCTGTATATGATAAGAAATCCAACATACCATAGTGTTGCAATCCCTACTGTTATATTCCAGTGTGGTGTAGTGGTTAAGAGCATGGGACTGGGACTCAGATGATCTGGGTCCTAGTCCTCACTCAGCCATGGAGCCAACTGGGTGACTTTGGGCCAGTCACAGACTCTCAGCCCAACCTACCTCACAGGGTTGTTGTTGTGGGGATAAGATGGGGGAGGAGAATGATGTAAGCTGCCTTGAGCCCTTTGTCAGAAAAAGGCAGGATATAAATTGAAAAATAAATAAATTCCTTGCATTGTTTTTATTCAGTAGGCAGGCACCTATTTTATTTATATAACTTTAAAGGTGCTGTGTTACACCCTTAAGAGATGGCACAGCAATAAAACAGTAGCAGACTGTTACACTGGATAGCTATTTGTCACTAGAGAGTAAGAGATTCTTAAATGGAGCAAGAAATGTCAGTTGTCCAAGCTGGAATCCCATCAACTCAGATTGATATAGCCAAGAAATTGAGGAAAACTGAGACTTGGAATGACAGCAGCGCAGGAACTAGAAAAGATTAAGTGTAAAGGATGTTTCACTGGAGACCAAGGCCAAGATCAGCTGTACTATTATTGTATTCCCAATCAGAATGTATGGGTGTGAAAGCTGGACAGTGAAGAAAGCTAACAGGAAGAGAATTGATGTGTTCAAAACTGGAGGAGAGCTTTGTGAATACCCTGGGACTGATAGAAAGACAAACAAGTGGTTCCTAGATCAAATCAAGCTAGAACTTTTCCTAGAAGCAAAAATGACAAAACTGAGGCTGTCATACTTCAGGCACAAGGCAAAACTCCCTGCAGAAGACAATCATGCTGAGGAAAGTACAAGGCAGAAGAAAAGGAAGTCCAAATATGAGATGGATTCCATAAAGAAAGCCACCACCTTGAATTTACAAGTCTTGAACAAGGCTGTCATGGATATAGGACATTTTGGAGGGCTTTCGCTCACAGGGCTGCCATAAATTGAAGATGACTTGAAAGCACATAACAAGAACCATAACAAACCATCTCTTTTTAAACTTTTTCTTAGAGTTTAAAGTCACTGCCCTCCCACTTCTTTGCTGGAAGCTGCTGCAGTTTAAATGCACTACCATGGTGAAACCATTCCCCTGACATTCCAATTCTCTGATTTGTACATCAGTTGACAATTAGCTATTTTGTTGCATTTCCTAATAAAGCTCTATTCCCAGAAAAGCTCTGAACTTGGCTCTGTTGCACCCTTGAATACTTTGCTCCCTAGATTTAATTATCTGAACATGACTCCTATTTGGTTCTTTTTGCTATTTTGATTAAAACACTAGCCTTGGGCCAGCTTCATCATACTGACAGCAGCTTGTCCCCCACAGTAGCACCATGGCAGGATGGCTTTCTAGCAAAGCATTTGAGCCAAATCTCCCCAAACCCCCTTGTTGCAGAAAGGCTTATTCAATGAAAATGGAAAAGCAGCTTTTAAGTATATGGTCCAAAAAAGGATGGTGAACACACCTGAAGCAATACTGTGAAATGCAAAACATGAATGACATAGTGAATACAATTTTAGAAATTTATTGAACTTACATAATAACTGACTAGGCGAACAAGTTATACTACTTCTCACAGGCATATATAATGTGAGGTAGCAAGATAAAACCACGATTACAGAAATTTGCCTTTCCAGGAGGAAATAAAAAAACTCTGCAGCAAACGTTTTTCTGACTTTATCTTAAGGCTACAGTCAGTAACAGCTCTAGAAGCCAAGAAGCAGGAGATGAGAAGGATTGTAGAGACACTTTACCCTTCCTTACCAGCTCCTTGCATACATTCACAGTGATTCTTCCAAGGTAAAGCTCAGACATTTTAGTCATTAAATTAATCACCATATTTTACAGCAGGAAGTTCTTTTTTAAGTTGCATTGTCCGTATGTACATTGACGCACTGTGCATTGGTACAGATGTCTAACTTTGAGGAGCAGACTACTTTTTCTTCTCTACATTAGCAATCGTGAAGGAATCACAATCCAGCCACATTCTTCTCCAGTTGCAGAACAACTGTCTTCAAAGCTGGATCCTTTGCCCAATTGACTCCACTTCCAGTAATGAGATTCTGAAATAAAATAACGTTTGTTTAGCTTTCAAATAGATACCAGTTATCATCTATGCTCCCATGTTTTCTTCATGTTGAAGCAACACAAATTACATAGCAGAAGAATCAATGCAGGGATCATTTATGCTGTGCACTATTTTGGCAGATTATAAAGCTAGCAATAATCAAGATATTTTAGTATTCACAAAATTCAGATGTGTTTCTGCTCAACAGAAGTCATTTAGTTTGTTTATTCTTAACTAGAGCATAATGAATAAATAGCAAAACTCTGCTCACAATAGTAAAAATAGCAAAAATGTGGCTAAGTTACAGAAATTTGCATTGAAACTGTCTTCTGCATATTATATACTTCATAATTTCCCATCTACTAGCAATAACGGGAAAGTACAATATTTATCTGCCAATAAACCTTGAAAACCCCAGGTTTTCCCTCAGTAAAGTTCCTTTTATTAGTAAAGAACCAATTTACAGCTACTACAAATGAGCAAATCTTAATTAGTGTGACCAGTTGTGCATCTATGCAGTTTACTTACCTGGAATATGTTTTGAATCAATGTAGTCATCTGGATTTCCTGTTGCAGATTTCTACGAGCCTTCTTCAAGATTTCACCCACTTCCATATTTTCTAGCTCTTCTTTTTGTTTTCTTTGCATAGCATGTATTTGTGCCAATTTGCACTCCCCAGCTCGTTTCAGCGCTATGTAATTGTGAGAATAAAATATATATGTACTAGCTAATTCACTGCAAGAACATGAGTTGTACAGAATCAAGTTAAAGATTCAGATTATGTCATCAATTTAAGAATAATTAAGGTTGCGATCTTAAGCACGTGTAGATAGAAGTCCTGCAACTCCGAGTATTCCCCAGCTAGCTATGCTGTCTAGAGAATGTTGGGAGTTGGAGGACATTTCTTTCTGTCTGCGCATGCATAGAATTGCACTTAAACATTGGGTTGTACGCAATACTCTCTCCCACCCACAGAACAGCTTTCACCAGCAGAATGGGAAAGTGGGAAATTCCTCCAGTAGCCTCCACGACCTATCAAAATCTGTCACAGAAGATTGGGTAACCTGACAGATGGACCGGGGAGAAGGCACAGAGCAGCTGCAGGGAGAGGAGGGGAAGGACAAGCTGAAGACTATTCATGAGATATTTTTTTCTCCACAGATATGCCCTGAGATAGGATCCTTAATACAAGCATACACACAAAGCAGACTTAAATATGCTAGCACTGTACAGGTTTTGCATTATTTCAAGACAATTTGTAAGATCAGAAGGTCAGTGTTGACTGGTATGACAAACATGAAATATAGATTATTTTATTCTTATATAAGTACAAAAATGAAGTAGCACTTAATATTTTAATTTTCCACATAAGCTTTTGTAGGTGTTTCCTATTAGATGTAGGGATAGAAGGAAGATGAGATTGTGAGTTGAAAGCAAATATTCCTATTTCTTTAAGGAGATTATCTTCAATATATGAATAGTATTAAATGCAATGTACAGCAATGGAGAATATGAACTATTTGGCTCTATAATGTCTCTGAGTTTATTTTCTTTCAAATGACCATCAAGGCATCTGTTTGCATTCAGGGAGGTTAAAATGCTCACTACAAGGCTTCTTACAAATCTTGGTTTTGATGTCCACAGAGTCTTTGACTTACAGTCAGGCTCATCTGTCCAATCTGTACTATTAGAGGAAACTTAACACAGTATTAAGTAATGCAACATAGTTGACATGCATGTGTAAATACTCTACATGTGATCTACCACTGGGATCATGAATTAATGTTGGCTCTTAAGGTACTATCTGAGTTTGCTGTAAAATCTGGATCCAGGCTCTGAACAGAATGAGTTTTATTTCCTTAGAGTAGTTGGTTAAGGTTACAAGATTGCCTATACACAGGCACAGGATTCCTCCAACTGTGTTCTTGTAAGTAGAACTGTTTTCAGTTCACTGTAGGTCTTTTATAGGTTGGTCTAAAACCTTTACTTGGGAACTATAAATGATTTCTAGAGGTATTCTGTCCTGTTCCTTATGTTCTGTTCTGTTCACCCTGTTGCATGGCAGTAGTATTGTCTAAGATATTGAACTGGCTTTTGAAATATGGTTCACCGTATTAGGATTGTATTTCAGAAAACAATCTGGTCTAGTCTTAGATTATAAGTTATTTATCAAGTTCATGCAGAGAGCCTTTGACTATGGGGCAGCATACAAATGTGATAGATAGATAGCTAAATAAATAAATAAGGTTAAGCTGAATGCCTTGGCTGAATAAAGTAGACCTTTTTATAAGGTCCAGGAAGATAACTGATGGCATGGTGGCAATAAATATCTAGTTCAAGTATAGTAAAAGCAAAATTGTAGCAAAGTCCATTAAATGGTTTGTGAGATTAAAATAGCTAGCAGAGGAACTCTCAGAACCACTGTTTATTATCTTTGATAAATCATTAAAAACAGAAGGGCCAGGCAACTGGAGAAGAGCTAACTTTGTTCCCATCTTCAAAAAAAAAAAAAAAAAAGGAAATTAGATGAACCTGGAAACTACAGACCAGTTAGCCTGACATCAATCCCTGGAAAAATTCTGGAGCAAATTATTTAAAAAATCAATCTGCAAGCACCTTGAAAAGATGCAGTGAATAATAAAAGACAACATGGATTTATCAAAAATAAATCCTGACAGACTGATTTAATCTCATTTTTTGACTGGGTAACCTCCCCAAATGGATGGAGGAAACACTTGTAGACATAATCTACTATGGCTTTAGCAAAACTATTGACATAGTGCCCCACAACATTCTGATAAACAAAGTTGCAAAAGTGGACTAGATAGAAAAACTATTAGGTGGATCCAAAATTGGCTGCTAAATTGGGCACAGAGTGCTCATCAATGGCATGTTCTCAGATTGGATGGAAGTAACTAGTTGGAGTGCTGCAGGTTTCAGTCCTAGGCCCAGTGCTCTCCAACATTTTTAGAAAGTATGAGGAACAATAATCAAATCTGCAGATGAGTCCAGATATCTAAACGATTTGGGAATGGAGCTTTCTAGGAGAAGTGTTGGTCTAATCTGATTAAGGCAGGTGCTAGGCTGCTGAAATGCACTCAGTCAGGAATTGTATTTGTATGTGCACCTACATGTGTGAGCTAATATACTATTTTATATTGTAATGTGACCTACAGTAGTGTCCTTTTTAGGGCAACCTCATCCCCCCAAGTCCTTTTTCAAGGAACCACTAGCCTGACTATCCATGAAAATGTATGATGGATGGAGCAATCATGGGATACAGTCATGACACATGCAAACATAACAATGTTACCAACACACTTTTGTTATTATTACATTTCTATACCACCTGTAGCCAAAGCTCTCTGGGTGGTTCACAATGATCCAGATTTCAACCAGGCCTGATCCTGCTTAGCTTCCAAGATTAGGCGGGACCAGGCACTTCATGCTATATGGAAGCTATATGTTTCGCAGCACATTGCATTTTGGATCTTCACACATTCATAGAAGCACATATTCAAAAGAAGTATAATAACCTCAGCTTGGTAAGATAGAATGTAGCAATATATTGCCATGAAAGTGGAACTTCACTACCACTTACCTAGTCTATTCTGCTTAACCTCATTCAGTTTTTCTTCCAACACACGGGATTGCTGTGTAAATAAGTACTGCATTAATATATTGCAGATATAGCAACCTGTGTTGGTGGCATATATGACAACTGGCCACACCAATACTTTTAAAAAGTACAGATATACTTTCAAATAGAGTCATATCTCCCTTTATCACATTTCACAGATACTGTGTTTTTACGAAATGAAGGTTTGTAAAAAAATCCCTTTGTGGGAACTTTCGCAATATTTCAAACTTTTTCATTATTTATTTGTTAGGGTGATCTGTGATCTTTAGTGTTACTATTGTAATTGTTTTGGGGTGCCACAAGCTGCACCCATATAAACTATCAACACTGAGTGAAGACTCTCCACCAGCAAAGAGAGCACAACTCCCTGAAGGTTCCAATGATGGTTAGCCTTTTTTAGCAATAAAGTATTTTTAAATTAAGGTATGAATATTGTTAGATATAATTTATTTATTAGATGTTAATAATTTATTTATTTATTAGATGTTATTATATTTATAATGCTATTGTACACATAATACAATAATGGAAACAAATTTTATATGCACTGGGAAACCAAAAAGGTTTTCTGTGACTCGCTCTGTTGCAGTGGTCTGGAACCAAACCTGCAATATCTCCAATGTTTGCCTGTATTTGTTTTATAGACACTTAATCCTACCAGTCTTAATATAAAGGATATTTACTTGCTGTGCTTTTAGTATTGCAGTGCTAAGCATCATTATGTGTTGCATAGTCTCCCAGATCAACCTAATAAAAGCATAAAAAGAAATCAGTATGATCCTTAGATTTGTAAATCAATAAACATTACAAACAAATGCAATTAAAATCCTGATGGATCATCTTTCTAAGGAAAGCAGTTCGAAGAAGGAATGATTTGCAAGGGAGAAGCAATGGTACTTTCTCCCCACTCCCTGCTTCACAAGGTTGGTTATAAAAAATCAGATCATCTAATGGATAAGTAAATACTAGCACAAAATACTGTTTTTATTAGTACTGTATATATGTGTTGGGTCAACTAAGGAGGCAAAAAAACCCTATGTGACATGATGAACAGAAGCAGTATGTTGCAAAGAGTTTTAAAAAGCCATTGTTAAACTGTGGTATTAACCATTTAGAAAAGGAGTAGAATACACTAAGGATTGTATCCAATGACATCATTTTGGTAGGTTGGGGGACACACCCTATCTGGGGCATGGAAAAAGGTGTGAAGAGGGAAGACAAAGAAGCCTGGTCCTACGAGGAGAAGTCCCATCACATGAAGGTTGACTCTAACAATGTCTCAGAATATATGTTATGGCAGTATAACCTGTATGTTGTAATGCAGGCAGAAAAAAATTGCTTCTGAATAAAGAAGCTACAGCTAATTGAAGCACAAGCATGGGTAGTCATGCTGGGCCATTCTATTACTGCTCTCAGTCCTTCTGAATCCCCCATGAAATACAACTGAAAGCAGTGTTTTGGCAGGAGTCCCAAAGTGTTGCTGCTTTAAAAACAAATACACATAACCTGAGGGTTATTTAGGAAAACTTGCAACAATAAAAACAATTCCAACAAAGAGGTCTGCTACTGTGACATCCAATTTGAGTGTGAGCCTAGTTTTAAACAGTGCCATGCCCTTTCATTTTAATTTGTTGCTAAACAATGGAGCCACAGTATAACAGCTCTTGTGAAGAGTGCAAGTGGACATTTCAGCATCATATCTGAATGAATTTATCTACTTTTCATGTCACAGTTGCATTTGAACAAAGTTTAGGGCACATAGTGTAGTTACATTTTAAGACCTTCATTGTAACTACAAGGAATTATTTCTGGAAGGATGGCCATGTTATAAAGGACTAGAAACTCAGCCTATAATTCTCAGTAGTCTAATCCAAGTGCCCTTCTGAAATTTTCTGTTACCCCTTCAAGCACTGTTTGTTAACACTCAAGCAAAAATATTGTCATATAAATATATAAAATATAAATCAGTTTAAAAGAATTCCTCCTCTTGGAGTTTCAAATTCTCTTACTTGGAGTCTTCATCATTGTCCTTCAGTTTGGTTCTAAGGGCATCAGTTACTTGGATCCTATAAAGCAAAGAGAAATGATAACATCTGTTTATAAAATGTACACAAATATATCTATTTATAAAAGAAACAAGACTAAAAGGTATTTTCTTTCACATATTTGGGCACGCATACACACACACACACACACACACACACACACACACAATACACCATAATCAAGCAGCTGAACAACATTTCTTTTAAATTAATTTAAAGGAATTAATTTAAGGAAAGGAATTCTTCCCAATTAATTTTTGGGAAGAAAATGGCATTTGTAGAGTTAAACAGAAGGTAGCTTTGAAATAAAAAGTTGTCTTATACTCATTTTATGTACTTTATGTTGAATAAATTTTAGTTGTGTCCATACACCAATAGAACTGACATAACTGGTGGAACAGATTCAACTTCCTCCATGCAGTCTCTCCAAAATCTTCTCTGGAGTGTTGAGAGTTCCTTTGGAACAGATTTGGGGAGAACACAGGTGGAGGGGAGAAGGAAAAGTCTAATAACACAAGTGGAGGTCCACTTGCAATGTTAGAGTTCGCTTTTCTATTATATACACAACAACAACAACATGGACAATATTAAAACTGAGCATAAATAAAAATTATTTTCCCAGGCTTTTCAACCACTGCTAAGGTTAGCACTTTTAAACTTGAAGCTTTTACTATTTAGTTCAACTAACTCATTTGTTGTGTTAATAGAGGCACAATCCTGTGAAGTATGAACTTCTGTATTAGAAGGCTCACACTCACTCAATGCAGAGTAGGAGTAAGAGAGGCAATCTTTACCTCCTGGTGTTCTTCTCATTCTGCATTTTCACTAGATGGCTATTTCAACTGCATAGCTGGAGCAGAGGGGGAAAAGGAGGCTGCAATGGCTTCAGAGTGCTGGCTGCTCCAGAATTTCCCCTCCTTGCCCCCTTTAGCCTCTTGTTGAGGTTGCTTTCTCAACCTTGGAGAAGAAGTATGATTCTCTTTCCACCAACTGTGAGAAGCTGGCATTCTGGACCTCAGGCTACTTGAACTTCAGATCTCAAAATCCAGAAAATACAGTGGCCCCCTCACACAATGGCCAGAGACTATATAACTTCTCCCACCATATATTCCATTTTATTTTTCTTTTGTTTTAACTAACTTATTTGTTGCATGAGTTCATATGTTTTATTATATTGTTATTTTGTTTTAAATTGTTCTTTGTTTTCTGTTTTGTTGGCTACCTTAGGAACATAAAATTATACTGATGGTGCCCTTCAAGTATTTTTGACTTCAAATCCCATCAGTCCCAGTCAGCAGAACCAATGGTTCGGAATACTGAGAGTGGTAGTTCAAACAGCTGGAAGATACCAGGTTAGGGAAGTCTGCACAGGATATATATTCTGGAAACACAGAAAATCAGGACAAATTATTTACCTTTGTAATGCCAATGTCTTATTCTGGTATGATATCTTTACTTCTTCCATTTCTTTTTCCAATTCTTCTATGGAGCTAAGAACAACATTGAAGAGAATTCAATTAAAAGCAAATCATGGCCCACAGGATCTTAAAGGTATGTTTCTTATAAGTGTTTCTTAAAAGAAACTTCTTCTAAGAGTTTGAGATGTTTATAATATATTTTCTCAGTTACTGATATTTACAGAAAAGACATACTGCTCTCTTATGTTATCAGCTCTGGCTATTTTTGCAAACTGACTATAAGAAAAGACAGGTAGAAATGCAACACTAGAATATTTCTAATAAATCATTTCAGAAACTTCCCACCCCTTTAATGCAACATCTCTCTCAACAGCATAGCGGGAGCAGAGTGGGAGGCAGGCTGAGACCATGCTGTGCAAGCACATATTTTGGTTTCAGATACAACCTTTGACACATTGACTAAATTTTTACATTTTCCTTTAAAAATTAAAGATAAGTTTATGATCTTTAAGGTTATGAAAGTGGATTGAAGTTATATGAGCAAAACTAGGGGCAGAATTAAGCAGGATTTTCAGTACAACTTGTTTATTCCTCATAACCAGAACAGGCAGAATTATCCAAAATATGCACATGCCCATTTTCATGATATACTGACCAGATTCTGTTCCGAGATTTCTTGCTACAGAATTTAATTATATATATAAATTACTGTGAAGATTTGAGTACAATCAACAAAAATCACAGCAAGCTATACATCCAATATTCATTATTTTCAGACACAGTTTCTTAGAAAGAGTGACTGTATAAATGGAATTCACTTTCATGTATGTAAGCTTGGGGATTCAAAAGGGAATGCAGCTAACAGGTAAAATAGACAGCAACTGAACAAAGGACATAAGGTATTTTAGGAGCTCTTGTGTACAAAAGCCTAGGATTTCAAAAGTACTGCAGAAAACTTTAAGAGATAATGTATAAATCACATCTAATTTTGTAAATATAAATTCATTGGATGTATATACTTGAAGGGGCGATCTATTACTAACTCTTTTTCTTCCTTATAAACCTGACATTACTGCTAGTCTCTTGCATTTTGCATATAAGAGTGCAAATTTGGTGCTTAATCACCTGAATTTGTATATGGAGCTGGGGGCAGGGACAGGAACATATACAGGCATACCTTGGAATTGTAAGTTCAATCCCAGACTATAAAAATAAAGCAAGTATCACAACAGAGCCAGTCACATGAATTTTTTGGTTTCCCAGTTCATATAAAAGTTATGTTTACATTATAGTGTAGTCTGTTAAATGTGCAGTAGCACTGATGGACTTGCTTGATGTAGGGTTGCCACAAACCTTCAATTTGTAAAAAGTGTAATATCTGCAAAGCACAATAAAATGAGGTATGCCCTATATACTGTAAGATGTTTTAACAACATACCTCTCCATTAGCTTTTCATCTACAGCTTGATCTGGAATGCTTTCTTCATCTGTCAAACAAAAGTTGTGTATGTTCAGAAACTTCACTCCAGAGACAAATATACCAATAGCATAGAAAATAAGTTCTCAAGTTTCAAAACACCATACAAAAGTTTTAAATAAATAAATAAATATGATAACAATACAGACATAAGAAAGTTCACAGTTCTTTTTACAACAGTAGTCACATACTTACTTGCATTGAGTGTTGTATTATATTCCATAAGATGTTGGTTTATTTGTTCCCTTATTCTACAATTAAAAAAACCCAGAAAGTCAGCAAAAGAAAGGGATATGTAGCAGTTAATAGCATATTTATATTATTTCCATAAACTTAATCACAATCATTCTAGTAATCCTTCAGGATCCTTCTGTGAGTAATTTAAAACAGTAGCTGGGCAATTTATCTTGTACACTGTAAACCTGATATCCATTTGAGGACTACCATCAACATTACCCCTAAAATTTGTGATCTGTGTTCAGGGTTTTACATTTGGTCTCCAGAAAGAATTCCTAATGTTGTATCCTTGATCAGCCTCACACCTCATGTTCTATCCAGAGAAGGGACCTCTCTCTGATGTTTGCTCTCTTTACTGCACACACACAAAATTTATTACCATGGTTTATGTGATTTAGTCTTGTTTAGGCCTTTTATATTATGCTGCTGCAATACTTTATCTGCTGTAAGTTGCTCTGAGCAATGTCTGTGAACTAGAAGAGCAGATTCTTTAAAAGAAACCAAACAGCCCTCCTTTAGTATAAAAGGCAGCATTAAAATACAAATACACTGTGTCTGGAAGCTGGGAGAGAAAAGGTATTCATGAAAATCACTTGCCTTCCCTTGGGCAAAGATGCCCCCTCCCAAAAAAAGGCTGTCCCTGTTAATGAAATAAGAACACTTGGAGAAATGCCAGCCCCTGGAAAGCACTCCACTTCTCCACCTAACCCTGTGAACTTAAATTTTTTCACATTGCACACATTATTGCATTACCTTTATATCCCAGCTTTTTCTCCGCTTAGGCAGCTTACATGATCCTCCTTTCCATTTTACCCCCACAACAACGCTGTGAGGTTAAGCAGAGTCAGTGAACTGACTCAGGAAGGATATTTCCTGAGCCCCATTCCTACGTGCTTAGCCCTATGCCACACTGGCTAGTGATAGCCACGAGTTAGGAGAGCTTTACAGAGGGGCTGGGCAAATTCCTGGGGGATGCTAGTCACTATGCCACGCTGGCTTTTAGGAATTACTACTACCCTTGATGGCTATAGACTACTTCCAGGATCAGATGCGAGTGGCTGGGGAACTTGGACAGGAGGTGGTGGTTGTCCGGCTTGTAGGATTCCGTGAGCAGCTTGTCTGCTGCTGTGTGAACGGAATCTCGGAGTAGAGGAGCCCGTGGGACGTTCTTAAACCGGAGCCGTGGCGTTCCAAGAAATGTACGCCCAGGGATGTAGAACAGCCTTGCCCAAGCTGTTGTCGTCCAGATGGAGCTGGCTGGGATTGATGGGCCCTGCAGTCCAGCACATCTGGAGGGCTCCAAGTCGGAAAAAGGCTGGCACAGCAGAAGCGGGAAGGGGATTGGAGGCCGAGAACATCTGCAGGACCAGCGGGCTCGCTGCCGCTGAGTCAGAGGGTTGCGGCCCTACAACGCATCGAAAGACTGCGGGAAAAGCTGACCGAAACAGCGTGAGCAGGTCCGCCTTCTTCTCCCTCACGCTACAGCCGAGCCTCCGCGCTTCTTCTGCCGCGGCTTCTTCTACAGAGCCGGCGAAAGCCGCCGCCGCCGCCTCTTCACAGCCGGCCGTGCGTCCCGCTCCTCCCTGCGCTTCCATCGCGGCAGCAGGAACGTCCGATGGGATCTTCTTCAGACAGGAGCGGCGCTCCTCGCGCCGCCGTTTCAAACGGCCCGCCGCCGCCTCACGTCACGGAGGAGCTCGGCGAGCGATTGCTCCTGCCTGAGCAATCGGCACGCTCCGCACGGAAGCGACGGCAGCCACTGCGCAGGCGTCGTGAGAGTGACATGAGAACGGGACAGGAATGCTGTCAGCCCCGCCTCCCAGAAGGAAAGTGTGAGGTTCCCACGGGGGCTGGGCGCTTAGGAGAGACTTGGGAAGGGCGGAAGTCGTATTTTATGATTTTAAGAAAGCGACAACGGTAACGACTCAAAGAAAGACTGTTTAAGATTCCCAGCTGAAATGTGTTGAGCCAGAATTCCTAGCAATTCCGACCATTCGCTATGCTGGCTAGGGACTACCTAAGAAAAAGAAACCAAATATATCGATATAAGTGGGGAATACTTGGCTCAGCGGCACGGCAAATGAGCAAGACCTTGAAGTGGTTGTGGACAGCAATGCGATGCAGCCAGTAAAAGGGCAAATGCTATTTTGGGATGCATTACTAGAATTTCACTTCCAAATAATAAGTACTTGTTCCCCTGTACCAGTGCTCTGCAGACTTTTTTGGGCTGCTGCTCCCTTTCCCTTTGGATGACAATCCTAGCGCCCTCACACCCCTTTCTTTGTGATAGGATTATTGCTTTGCTGCAAATTCAAAGTAATCAATCACTGCTCCCCTGGACATCTCCACTGCCCCCACAAAAGACAATACCACCTACTTTCGGAATCGCTGCCCTATATTCAGCCCTAGTCAGATCTCATCTGGAATACTGTGTCCCTTTCTGGACACCTGGATTTAAGATGCAGAAAAATTAGAAAGGGTCCAGAGAAGGGCGACAAAATGATCCAGGGCTTGGAAACACTGCCTTATGAGAAAACTGGGCATGGTCAGCCTCAAGAAGCAAAGACTGAGGGGGGTCATGATATCCCTTTATAAGCACTTCAAAGGCTGTCACAAAAAGGAAGGTCAAGATCTCTTCTTGTTCAGTCCAGAGTGTAGGACACAGAATAATTGGCTCAAGTTGTGACAACTCAGCTTCAGGCTAGATATCAGGAAAATTTTCAGAGCAATGTGACAGTGAAACCAATTGCCTAGAGAGGTTATGGGCTCTCCCACACTCCTATTTGAAAAGAAACTGGACAGGATTCTGAGTGGAAAGGTGCCCTGGAACAGCAAGGGGTTGGACCTGATAGCCTTGAAGGCCCCTTCCAAATCTATGGGAATGGTAATCAAGCACATCTGGAGAGCACCTACATGGAGGCTAGCTTTAGGATACCCCAAGACATTGTAAGAAAAAAAGTGTACCATGTCCAAGAAAGCTTATTCTGGATTAAACAAGCCTTTCCAGCACCACAAATCTTTTGGTTGCTTTTATTGTGACAAACTGACATGGCTATCCTACTAGAAAATACTGGATAAGCTCTGTGAAACTTATTGTCAAAGCAACTGGTTATAATGAATGTTTAGACAGTACTGTACTGGATTCATACCTGGATGAAGCTCCAGAACAATCCTTAAGTACGAGTGTCCATGTTATTTAGGGCCTTGCATGAGATCTTGTAATCATCCCGTTTTCTTTTGCACACTTGTAATTGCCATGCTGAGATCAAATGTTCACAGGGTGTCCAACCAACTGCCTGTAGCACGAGTCCAACAGCATGCTGATGATTATATTTCCAGCAACAGGTGTGGAGGCATACTGCCTTTGATATGGGAAGGTGCATTTGCTCAGTATTCGGTGAGAGCCTCTCTCTCTGATCCAAGATAAAAACTTGTTTCTGCAGGCGTATGAGTGTACAAAGAGTTCCAGAGAAACAGAAGGTCCACTTGAGAAAAGCACATGGGAGGTTCAGGTATCTTGGGAATGATGAAGGCATTCCTAAGGTACTTGTTTATAATTGTTTGCTGGGCAGCTGCCATTTATGTGCAGTCTGCATACATGGCTCAGGTGGACTGGGCTTTTCCATAGTTGCCAGAAGACTTGAGTTTAGAGTACTTTAGAACTGAAAGTGTCTCTAGAACAGAATGTGTTTTCTCCAACAACCTGATACATTTGGTTTTACTTTGGTCTTACTAGACAGTTTTGCAGTTAGATCATGACAAGTGGTCAAAGTAAAAATGAAAGTTTATTAAAAACTTTTAGATGAATATATTTATATACACACACATCCAGTGACACATAGTGTCAGCTTGCCAAACAGTTAAGTTAGATCTATTTCAGTAGTGGTTTAGCCAGATCCAGTATGACTTCTGAGTTCAGAGCTGGAAGGGTGCTGATCTTAGCATTCTTGCTGCTGGCATATTTATTCTTGACCGTCTAAGAAAGTGGAAATGGGGGGGGGGGGGTTGGAGAGAGAGAGAGGTGAGCTTTATTTCAAGAGAGGTTGATGAATTGTATACTATTTTAGATAACAGCTAGGAGGACATGCCATTAACATGTTATGGTGAAAACAATGCTATGGGGAAACAATAACATCCAACATGAATGGACAGCATGACCCATCTCAGCCCAAGAATTCAGTAGCAGAGTAAGGCTATAAAATAGTTTAGTTTGTTGCAGCTGCTGTGAACAGAGCTACTTGGAAGGCAGTTTCCTTAAAACAAACCCCCTTTCCCCCCATTAACTGTGAAGCATTAGCAACCTTAAGTCAGAAAAGACAACATTCCTTAGTCACATCATGCTGCATTGTACTGTCTCATCTGCAAGCTTTGTTTGTTGTTTACAGTGTCAAATAATCAAAGCCTTCAGATGCACGTAGTATGGAGTTTGCTTACCATATGCTTTGTAAGGCCTCGGTTTACCAATATCACATTCTTTGCCATATGCTGCATAACAGGCACAAGAGTATTCTCTGTGTAACACATGTAGTGTTGTAGAGTTGGTGTCTAGGAGCAAAACAAATATTCAAGCCTGAAATTCTACGAAGCGGTGCAATTTCCTTCCAAAGGAAAGTTACTGAGGACTCGCACATGCACACATGTGAGAGTTTCCTAACAGACTCAAGGTTTCCAGGATTCACAACTTATATTCCAAGCCCAAATATGCTGACAAAAAAATCTGGAAACAGTGCAAAGGGTATTTGGTCTACAATTCCTATCTGTTCCAGTCAGAACAGTCAATGGTGAGGCATGATTGGAGTTGTAGGTCAAACATATGGAGGACCATAGATTGCCCATCCTGCTCTAGTCATCTCTGTGGGAGAGGGAACCAAATCTGACAATTAACTCTAACCTGTACTTCCATACCTTTTTCCTACCATGTGTCAGGACCAGCTCTGGGCTTAGTTACTTACCCATTCCCCCTCATCAAGAATTTTAGTAGATAAGCAGAAAGCTGCAGCTGCAATCTGAGAGGGAGGGTAGTGTACCATGTCATAATCCACTATTGAGAGTTCCATCAGGTACTTTGCCAGAGTGTGCTGTTGGATATCAGCCTAGAATAGCAAGGATAAGGTTGTGTTACTTCTGTTAAGTCAAGAAGGTGCACTATGGCTTCACAGGTGCACATCCATAGGATGTCAAGGAGTCTTTATAGTTCTTTTTTTCATTACAGCAGAAGCAGCTGTGACAGTTTAGCAAACTCCCTTTTAAGCTGTCCCATATAACCAGTAGTTTTTTAAAATCAGTTTTCCTTTCTGCATCTTCTACTAGGACACATTAAGATCAAGTTTCAATTTATATGATTCATGAGTGCTATTTGTAAGCTGGAGATCCTTTAAAAGCAATATTACCTCTCCAATTTTTGATGCCCTCCTTAGGAAGTGCAGTGGAAGGGGTCGACCAAGACTGAAATCAAGAGATCTTAGGATTTTCATCTCCATTTGTCTGATCTGGAGTTTGGTATAAGTATGATCTGTCACAAAGGCAAAGTCACCAATTTCTGGAGGAAACATTTCTTCATACTTGCTGGCAATGAACATGGCTGTCACACCAACCAACTGCAGCATTTTCTTAGTAACTTTGTTGTTCTGCAACGAAAGGCACCATCACTCATTTTTTTCTAAATGCTGCTTTAAGCAATTTCACAAAGCTGCCCTGATATTCTCTGGTGAGAGTAAGTGGCCTAGCCAGAGAGAACTTTCAGAAAGCAAATCAGTTACTGTACCTTGTTTCAAGTTTGAGCAATGTCTTCAAATAGTGCTCCATTAAGACAATGCAGGAAAAGGGCAATGGATGAGCAGGGTCAAATCTCCCTTCCCACAGACCCCAAAGGAAAGGATTGTGCAATGTGCCTCTTGATGTTCTCAAATTGAAATCTGAATGGCAAATCATGTAATGCTTAAGGGAAGAAGGTTGAATAAGGAGCTGGCTCTTATTTTGTATTGCCCATGCTTTGACAGGGCAGAGTTCTCCTAGTCAACCAGCTTCTCTTACCTGCAGAAAACGATCAATAATGGCAACAGTCATGTACATGGTCTCCTGCAAGAGTTTGAATTTCATCTGGACCTGCACAAGCCAATCAATTAGAATTGCCCGCATGCCTCCAGTAACTTCCTGGCCTGCCAAATAGTTTGCTCTCACTGACTGTTGATCCTGAAAAAAGGAAAAACAAAGGGCATTATTTGCCTTCACAATCATACCTACAAAAGCTTTTAAGCTAAATATGACATGTACTGCCCTCCATCTAGTACTATTAAACTACAAATTTTTCCAAGAGCTTAAAAACCACTTTTGGGAAAAGCAGGTAACAGTCCATTGCTTGTGTCTGCTCCCTGCACTTGGACTGGAAAAGGCACATTAAGGTCATTAGGGAATTTGACCTACAAAAGCTATTATTTTGAGGGCCACACTCTAGGCCCATTTCAGCTCTTTGAACCGACCTCAAGAACTTTCAGGTAGTTGTAGATGTCTTTCACATATTCGCTGCAAAGGTTTGGATCAGAAGCATCATCTGTATCTACATCATGTACTTCAAGGAGAACATCAGAGAAAGCCTGGCATAATATGTCCTCAGCTGGTGCACAACCAGAAGTCTCCATTGGGCTTGGGGAAGGAGACTCCAACTGTAGAAAAGAGATTCATCCTTTAGTGTAAGAGCTACATTATTCCTCAAGCCAGCAATCTTTAAAGTAGTATATTACATAACTATCCTTTCTTCCATCATGGAACTGTAGCTCGTCTCTTCTCTGGTCACTGATCAGACCCAGAGCTCCCTATAGCCAGGTATTAGCATGTTTCCTGAAGCCATAATCATTAAATTGGTAGGTAGGAGCTACATGTGATCCCTACAGGCCAGCTTTCTCCAATCTTGCACCTTCCAGACAAGTTTGGGCTGTAACAACCAAAATTTTCAGTCAATGGCCCTGTTGGATGGGAATTCTGGAAGTTGCAGTCCAAATGCCTCTGAAGGCCACCAGGTTGAGGATGGCTGCTACAGGCTACTGTGGCAAGTTATCTGCAAGTTGCAAGTATTTCCTGCAACTGCATCATGTTGGAAGTAGATCAACTTATTAGTGATAAAATCAAGCTTTTGGGGCTGTTGGGCACAGTTGTAATTTTGAATACATGTCATGGACACTGTCACAAAATGGCTGCCTTGGAAAGGTGCCCATTTATAAGATGGCTATGTTGGCCAGCATGGCCAATTCAAACACCCATTTCACAAAAAGGCAAACCACTGTTGACCAGTTAAGCCCCTAGCCAGGAATCTACAGTTCCCTTCTTCATTCAGAGTAGGAACATAGGAAGAAGCCTTATTCCAAGTCAGACCACTCAGTACTATGAACATTTACAGCACCTCATGATTTCAGGTAGGATTTTTTTACAGCCCTACCGAGGGATGCCAGGGCTTTAATTTGGAACATACTGTATGCAAAAGCAAGTGCTCTCCTGTCGAGCTATAACACTATCCTAAGGGAGCACCCACCCCAAAATCTTACCTTACATCCTTAGCACAAGAGATACTTTGATCCCCTCACTCATTTCTCGCTAGTGTATTTCTCCATAAACCCTCCTCACCCAAACCACTCTCTGGATAATTCCCCATTCTCAAGAACTCCGAATCATTTCTCTCAAAACATTCTTTCTCTTGAGGCCTCCCAAGCTCCTATTGCCCCTTACTGCCCTCCCTACTACTATGAAGTTTACTGAGCTGTGGTTTACCCCTTCTATCCACCCCAATTTTTGAGTGTGACTAGAATGCAGCAGAGTATTGCCTTCAAACTGCTCCCTCTTCCTTTCTGAAGAATGTCTTGGGCCCCTTCTGGCTGCTCAAAGTAGTATTTTTTTCAAGTATTAGCTGGCCTCAGTGAGATGCCTAGGAATATTAACCCCAGCATTAGCAAATCTGGCATGGTCTTGCTGCTTATTAGCATGCATGCATTTAGAATCCAGGGGTCCCTTTACGATGGTTGCAAGAGATCCTTGAACTAAAATGTAGACTCAAGCAAGGGTAGTAGTATAAGAGATCAAAGACAGACTATAAAGCATTCGAATCTTCTGCTTTAAGTCAACTATCCGCCTGTAACCTAGGATCCTGGAGTTAAGGTACAGCCTGTTCTGCTCCCTTTAACAGTATTAATTTGAAGCACCTGCACAGCCACTGACAAAGCAAGTTTTAGTGTTACAGCACCTTATAGGAAGGCTTGATGGAGAAGTAAAGACAATTAGGTCATTGTTGTAGGAAACCTATTCAAGCTGATCAGAAGATTGCAGTGTTCACGTTGGCAAGTTGATCCTCTTAAATCAAAACTTCAGAGGTAAGGAGTATTAATCTTCACAGAAGGAAATATCCAGTCTTGCATTCTGGGTTTCTGGAGTTCTAGAAGAGCTCCTTATTTAGCTTTAGATATCTTGGTAGAAAGTTGTTTGGACTATTCTAGTCCTCTGCTCACGCTGCTTTAAGCCTGAGCATGCACAATTGTGCAGCCTACCCAGTACTGCTAAGGGTAGGCAATATATCCTCAAAGTAAATTATGATTATCAGGCACACCCAAATCATACCTAACCCATCCCTAAACAAGTAGGACCCTTAAGAGTATTATTTAGTACCTTAACAGGTTCTGGAATTGGCTTTTCTTCCTTTACAGGCTCAGTTGCTTTTTCAGGGGCTTTAATAGCTTTTCGAGTTATTTTATCCACAATTGTAGGCTTCGGTGGCTCCTAATTGTGGTGGGAGTGGAAAAAAGAGGGAAATAGTGAATTGAGTAGCTGTTTCTGATGTTCAGTTTTGCTTGAAAGAGCATGCAAGGAAGAGGCTTACCTTTTTCACTACATTTTTGGGCTTCAGCTCACATGCCTTGTTGCCTATGTCTCCCAGGGCAGTCCTAGGCCTCAAGCCGGGTTTGGTAGCAGTCACCCCCCGCTTGTTAGCTGCCATTGCAGGTTTGGAATTGTTCTCTGTATTGACTTTTGTGTTCTACGGAAATGATAAAGAACCTGTTTAGGTTACAGAATTTCAGAAGCATTTGCACATAATTAGAACAAAGCGTGAGGAGAGCAGAACCACTTTGGGAGTCCTCCAACTCCGAATGGAGAGAAACTGCACAGATTAAGCAGCCATATAATTGAAAGACTAAACAAGCTTGGGGCAACACTTCCGCCCCCACAGGTCACCCCTGTACTTCTTCCCCCTTCCCTTTATTAAGTCTGAAAGACTCAAAGGCAGCATATTTCATACAGTTACACTTTGAAAGTGGCTATACGTGTTTAACACCACCATAGTCTCATCTCCCTCCCCCGCCGGAAAGCAGAGCTAATACAAATACGCTCTCTTAGAAGTCAATCCAACCGGGTACAATGGGGCTCCGTCCCGCTAAGGGTGCACAAGACGCTGCTTTGTTTCCCATCTCCAGCAAAAGACAGTGCTCAACAGGAAGCCAGGCTAAAAATATTCCAACCCTCGCAAGGAAGCTCCTTCATACCCGGCTGACCCGCAAAGCCATTGCCAAGCCTCGATTCCTACAGCACTAGCTCCTTTCAAGCAGTATACTCCGAATAAGTGCTGTTCTTTTCTGTCCGAGCTGGCCGATGACTGCTGCGCACGAGTGCAAAACCCCGTCGCCTGCCGCTGCAAGTTTAAAACTCGCACTAGGCTGTGCTGATTGGCTGCTGCTTTAGCTTCCGTCGCTTCCTATTGGCCGTGCAGCGTTCCAACCCGCATGCGTTTCTACGGCTACGGAGGACTGATTCCTTTGAGCGTTCGAAAAGGGGGCGTGGCACATTGGATCACGTGATGGCGGTTATGTTTCAAGCTTCTCAGCTCAGCTGGTGAGGATGTGGCTGTTACTGGACCGCTGTTTTGTGGGTGGATTTTGTGTCGGGCTCTGAAAACAAGCATGGAATGATGGTGCGCAAAACCACTAGAATAAATTAATCGGGGGTTTTTCCTTGCTCACAAATACTATTGGTCTGCAAAAAATAAAATCAGTTTTCAGAAAAAGTATTTCAGGATTTTCCCTCTTTGTGGCTTCTTGCATGCGTACGATTGAAAATTCCCATTTGGAAATCAGTTGGGAGTTTTTGCATGCGAAGAATTCGAGGTTGCTAATAAAACAAGTTGATCTCCGGATGTCTTCGACTTAGGCTTCCAGCGTTTTTGATCCTTGATCATGCAGTTAAGGGTTTCTGAGAATTGAAGTCCAAAGCATCCAGAATTCTTTTGCTCAATCCCTCCGCTGTTGCATAAACAATGCAATTCTATGCATATCTACTAAAACATAAATCCTACTGAGTTTAAGGAGATGTGCTTCCAAGTAACTGTACAGCTCCCTAAATTATATTGGCTTGACAGGTTCACCCCACTCCATCCCCAAGTAAAGGCCCCTGCAATTTTTACAGCTTTAAGGAAAGCAGAAGTTCAAGTTGGAGTTACGTTCTCAGATCACATCTGTGTCTTGAGGTTACAAAGAAAGTGACAGGCTAAGTTCATCAGTTTGGCTTGGGGAAATGGGTGTGTTAGGACTGGCAATGTGTTGTAAGGTAGCCATTTTGTGAGGGAGCAAGCCTCCTCATTCCAGCCATTTTGTGAGAGTGACCACAGCATTCTCAGTATTCTGAATGTGCCCACTGGCTGAAAACAAGTTGGGGATCCTAGTATAAATAATGTTAAAATATCCATGAAAAATAAGTACTTATACATCCCAGAGGTTTTAATGTTACAGAATTAAGCATTAATAACTTTTCAATTGTGTTAAGTATACTTAACTCTGCTGCTTAAATAAAAGGGGCTTAAACATACTTAATACTAGTTGAATTGTACCCTAGGCCTTCATGCATTCCCTCCACCACTGCAACAGAGATGCCACTGATCTCTGTTAGCAGTGAATTGTGAAGCCTTTCACTTGTTGTCTTCTTACAGGAGAGGTTCAAGTTCTCCTGTGATTTAAGATTTAGCCCGACTTTATGGGGCAGTAAGGAACACATATTTAGGCTCTGCTTTGTAACTGCTGTTTTCTCTTCAGGTTAAGCATATGCAGTTCCTTCAGCCTTTCATCACAGGACTTGTTTTCCTTCCTGCTGACTGTTCTTGTCCTTCTCTGAACCTGTTTCAGTTTGCCTGTATCCTTTTTAAAGTATATAGGGTATATCACTCCAGATGAGGTCTTACTTCTACAGGCCAAGTGCAACAACTACTGCTTGTGACTTAAACAGTATCAGTGCAGGCTAAATTCACTTAGTTTTTTCCACAGCTGCATCACACTGCTGGCTCATGTTCAGCCTTTAATGAGCTACAGACCTGAGATCCTTTTCACCTGCCCTTTGGCAAGCCAGGTATTTCCATTCTTTATCTGTCCATTCGATTTTTTGATTCCTGAATACAGAACTTTGAGTTAATCTTTGTTGAATTTTATGTTGTTGAATGGAAAGCTGGGCTAAAACTATGAAGATCATTTTGAATGTTATTTCATTCTATTCTTTTCTTTGGCAGTATTAGCTGTCCCTCTGGAAATCTGTTTTCCTCTATTTCATCTAGGTCATGGTTGATTATCTCCTTCTGGCCTGCAGCTTTGACTCTACCAACCTGTATAGCAATTTCACTTTAAAATTCTCCAGTGTCCCAATGAAAACTTTTGGAACCCTAATTTGTTATGCAGGGAGAGTGGAGGGTTTTTTGGGGGGATGATCACCCTTCTGTCCCCATGCACAACTTCCTTTACAAATCAGGCTTTAAAAGTAACTTCAATTAAATGCAAGTTCCCCTTTGCGCCAAGTGTTGTATGATGTGGGGGAAAGAAACAGAAATGGGACAGAGAAAAAGGGTAAGAGGATTGGATGGATGGGTTATATGAATGGTTGTAAAGTAAGCAGTACAGCTCGCTCACTTTTAGTTTTGTCCCTGGTAAGGAAGAACCCAATAGGATTCCTAATAATGAAAGGAAAAATCATGAGATAACCTTTTAAGTGCAGAGGTTATCATGTGCACTTGGAAAAATTTGCTTCACACTAGAATGAACAGTTGCCATACTTATAGCTGTGAAGAAATTTTCCCTAGGCCAGAGAACTCTTGCTTTCTTTTGCTTCCTGCAGAATTGCTGCTCAGATCTGACGTCTATTCATATTGTGCACATTTGCTGATTGTGCCACATTGTGACTTCTGGTGCAAAGATTGATAAGTGTGTGTGTGGGATGAACAGTCTTGCTTTGCAGCACAAATTTGAATTATGTTTTCTTTGGGCCCTCCAAGCTGGTTAGAAATTATTAAAAACTGAATACACAAAGAATGTAAGTATATCTATCATTGCTTTATTGATGCAGCTTCTCATCTTTCAGGAAGCGGAGTGTGTTTGTTTTGACAGCTTCTGAAAGAGGAATAGAAACTTTATAAAATTCATGAGAAGAGGTGCTGTGTATTGTTCTGGGTTTGAGGAGCCCAACTGACATGTCCCTTGCCAGGATAACTTGAGACTTAATGAGCATAACCTGGCTTATTCAGGGAATCAATAAAGGGATTGCAAGCTTTTTTACTTGTCTACATTCTAGAATTCAATGAACTGTTGATCATTAACACAAGTGGTTTTGTTTTAGCCTGTGTGGGGGGAATAAATGACAGTAAGAGAATAAAAGTGAAAGAATTGAGTGTAACAGGAAAGAGTTGTGAATAGAATTTGTGGAAACAAAGTTGTGAGAATTTGTGAGGAGACTTAAGCCAAGAATGCTAGAGATCCCAGTGCACTTGCAAAATGGTGGGAACCCACTATTTACCGTATTTTTCTGTCTATAAGACGCCCTCACGTATAGGGCGCCCCCCACTTTTCCTACCCATCTCCAGTGAACAAGCTGCAGCCGTGCACGCCCCCCACCCCACCCCACCCCACCCCACCCCCCCGGTGTATAAGACGCACCTTCATTTTTAAGTAAATGTTTTAAAGAAAAAGTAGCGCCTTATAACGGAAAAATGTGGTATATAATGGGCAAGTGGGGGCAGGGCTCCCACGGAAAGTTCTGGGCTTAGAGGAATCTTCCCAAACAAGGCACTGCACAGGCGCAGCACCCATACAGAGACCCCAACAAAGAACCTTGAATCTGGAAGTGAGGTGGCCTCCAGGATAATACACAACAGTGAGACTTAAAAGTGCTCAACTCTGGCTGAATTGTGACCTGTAACTGTAATCGTGTTTAGTATCTTTTTGACTTTAGAAAAGGTGGCTAATATAAACAGTCATTTCAGGCCTGGTACGATCTTCACTGCAGTGTTGTTAAAAAGGCCATTCTCATCTGAGAATTTCGTGAGGACATTGCCATGTTTAAAATGTCCTGTAGAACTAAATCCAAAGCCATGCTGAATGCTTAAGAGTGGTGGATACATCCTCAGTCTTTTAGAAAACCCCAGCCATGTGGACCTACCTGCCTAGCCAGAGGCATTTTGGTGGCACTACATACAACCAGCATGATGCTTACACACTTTCCAATGCCAAATGTTAATCTGTTTTGAGAAACAGAGCAGCTGTACAATTAGCCCATCTGATGGAGACAATTATATTCAAACAATAATGTTGTAACATGCTTAAGGAAAAGTAAATAAAGGCAGCATCCTTAATGCATGACGAAAAGAATTCCTCACATATCCACTGCTGCCACTATTGCTTTAAACAAGAAGGGAAGTAAAAGTTAGGGGATACTAGCATACAGTAGTTTCTTCTCTTGCCTCAGGAAGTAAATCTTACTAAATGTTACTAAAGCTATAGAACTTTCTCACTTCTGCCCTTCTCCCAATGGCACCCAACCTGCCTTTCCATCTTCAATTTAGTCAATTTTCTGTGTGGAAAGCATCCCATATCTAGTATTAAATTCTGTAAAGGTAATAGTTTGGTACAATGTTGAGGACAATTTAACAGTTTCTTGGGTGTGTAGAAAATGGCATCCATTATGACAGTTCAACTTTGATTAAGCTTAGGATGAAACAACCCACAACAGAGAGCAAAATCATGTTACTCTTAATTCTTCCACGCTATGAGACAAGTCATGTTTTGAAGGTTATAATTTAAGCAATAATATGTCACTAGAAATTTATAAAAAATACAAAATATTTATTTTACATAGTGGTTCAAACTAGTTTTCCAACTTTCCCACCGAACAGAAACAGGACTGCAAGAACAAAAAATGTAGTTTTATTTTTCCCTGACTTATTGCTAATATGAATACTATATTTTTCGTCTTTAAAAAAAATAGTTCACTGACAATTTATGGTAGAATCTATTTCTCCTCATTTAACAAAGCTGTGCTTAGAAAATAGGATTATATACAGAAATGGAATAAATATAAAATTGTACATATTCATTTGTATCTAATGAACTTTGAAAAACCAATATGCACTCATTTTAATGTGTAAATACACATACAGCAGCAAGACTTCAAAATAGTTTTTGAAGAATAGTTTCTGGAGTCTATTTGTTTCTCTTGTAAGCTAAAACGATTTTCTTTAGTTTTGAGATGGAGGAGAAATGCTCAGTATTCCTTTTTTGGGCAGACTGTGCAATACATTTGTCTCATCCACACTCATATAGCAAAATGTGTTTAATAGACACCAAATACAGTATTTTACATTGTCA